CTAGGGTTAAGGAGTATATACTTGTAAGTCATAATTATGCACAGTGAGTTAACGATGGGGACGCGGGAAAGCTAAATTTTAAATGCTTGTGTTATTTTATACCTGACGTGTAGGCCTAATCGATCTCATTCAGTTTCCCTACACTTTTGGGTTTTTCGTTTTTATCGTTGTTGCTTTTAATTTTAGATATCCCATTTCGTGACAACAGAAGATCTGCCAAGAAAGGTGAAATGTTGTAAGAACCTGGACGCAAAATTGACAAAGATAAAATTATAATAAGGCGAAAATGTATAGAAAGTGCTCTGATTGCTAAATAATCCACGTTAAATTTGTGTCCAACATTTCATCTCACTCGGCAGATCTTCTTATTATGACAATGATGGATATTTTAAAACAATCCTCACACACACACACATATTGTGAGTAGCGGCGCTATATTGACTCTATTCAGATGGTACAGTTGGTATGACTGCTTGCGTTGTATAGAAACGGTTAGGGTTCGAACCTCGGTAGTGAACGCGCACTTCTGATGATTCCCAAAAATGGGAAGAAACGGCCGTCCAGTTCTTTCTGCATTCTGTTGAAGATTCTTCTAGAGTCGATGAATTACTGTAATGATTTGCCTGCATCCCCAAAATTCTTTTATATATATATTTCTATTTTTTTTCAATTATATATATATATATATATATATATATATATATATATATAATTGAAAAAAATAGAAATAGACAGGAAAAATAAGTTTAGAAAAATATTAGAACATGAAGACAAATGGATTTTGCGCCTCAAAACACTTCGTCCAGACGGGCTTAACACAAATTTAACAACATAGATAGAATTAATATATAACCCCATAAATCAAGCCCTACACGCATTTCTCACCCACTCAAGACAGATATGCTTGCAGAGGTGTTGAGGTCTCACACTTATACACACACTCATACCAATATATAGACTTACATACATCATACACACTCCCAAAGAATTCAAAGATAACATGCACTTAACAAACACATCCCCCTCCCAGCAACCAATAAAACTGTCAAAATGACCAAAAAGGGAATTCTGTGACTCGTGAATCTCCCCAGTCTCTTTTTTAAAAATCAACTTGAAAGAGGCCGTTTGACCAACACAGGGACTGACTAAAATTAACGATAGCAAACAAATGAAAACTACAGATAAAGTTCATTTCCTTTATAAACAGCCATTCACTAATTATGGTGTTAATAAAACAGTTCTCGATGTAACATAACAGAGCTTTTAAGTATATATTAATAAATATACACATTGTTACTCACCGGTAACACGGCAAAAGGATTGCGTTGTGCATGAAACTCTTAGTCGTACTACCGGTTAGGAATATATATATATATATATATATATATATATATATATATATATATATATATATATATATATGGATCATAGTGGACCTGGGAGCAACAACAATTAAGAGGTGTTTCCACGCTCCCCAATACCTCTAATCTCCCGATCAGAGGCCTTGGTGCTAGATGTAGTTGCCATACCCAAGTCACTAGGGGACTGAAGTGTCACATACTACACAAACGTAAGACTGAATGAGGTTATATATATATATATATATATATATATATATATATATATATATATATATATATATATATAGTGCTGTTCGACAAAATGACTCACCTGATTTTTTTTTTTTTATCGAACAGCACTGTTCAAAGAAAGAACTATGCGGGAATCTGTTAAACAAAGGGGGAAAAACTGTTTGATTAAATAAAATTTATTTAAACTGGCATGCTAATGTTGTACTTGTGGAACGAAAACGGAAATAAACACCAAGACAATCACCAAATGACAATAAAAAAAAATTTTAAAAAATCGGTTTCTGAGTCGGAGTATTCGTGCATCCATCCGGTTAATAAATTAATCATTTCAAAATAAATATTTAACATTTTTGAACCAACAATTAAAAATATCTTTCCTTGGTCCCTTTGAAGGCTATTTAAGCAAAGTTTCTAGACTAGACAAAGGAGTAAGGAACAGCAACAGACGGCAACATTTTGACGATGCATCGGCTTAAAAGAAATTTCATTACTCATTCATTCGCCTTCCTCCCGAAGCTACGTGACACTTACACTTTCCTCCTCTCTTTATCTCTTGCCTGTTCTTTCTAACACATACACGGGAAGAAATCCTATTTCTTTTCATCTTAACAAACAACTATAAACAAGAACTTCGACACTCATAAACACCAACAAAAATTTAGTTGTGAAAGCATGAAAACAAAAAATATTTTATGTTTTTTATTTTCATATAATTTTTTAATCATTTCACCCTAAGCAAGACAATAAAGCCACTAAGGCGAAAGGGCTTACTTATGGTGAGAGAATATGAGGAAAAGAAAATATGACTGATGAGAGAGAACAATAAAAGAACATGAATTAAGAAAACAGAAGATAACGACTGACATTATATTTATATTTTTCAAATTTGACTGGAGAGCAAGAAGCCGGAAGAGAGTTTCATAAGCGAGAAATACGATAGAAGAAGCTGTCAGCATAGAACTTACGGTTATATCTAGCCATGTCAACTGTAAAATGATGCGACCTTGCCGCTAATCTAGTAGTAGGTTTAAATTCAGAAAGTCTAGGTACCAAAGAGGAAAGCTCGCCTGAACAATTACGATGAAAATATCTATAGAAATGGCACAGGGAAGCTACGTTACAGCGGTAGCTGAAGCCGAGATGCCAGGTCTTGTGAGAAATTTGTCCCGCCTTTCCCACGTGAAAGGGTTGAGGTTAAATGAGACAGAATTGATAAAAGCAACAGCGGCTTCAAAGATTAGAGCGGACAATTCTCTCTTTTAGGTGGAAGAATAAAGACTCAAACTCCTGCTTGGGGCGCAACAATAAAAGAAGCAAATGTTTATTTACATACACACAAAAAAGGATATACACAAATACGAGATAAAGAAAAGGAGAATAAAATTCCTTTAACTTAAAGGAAGAAAAATGTTCAAAAAAAGTCTTGCTTAAAATATTTCCCTGAGCGCCTCAAAGTTCTTTAAACTAGCAAATCGTTCTTAAGGGTTAACATCGATTTCTTCAGGGCTCTTGTTAAGAAGGAACCGAATTTTATAGTTGAATGAGTTCGTAAGCAAGCGAGCGGAATTTCTAGTTGCAAGGAGGCAAGTAGTGAGCCTTTACAACCCATCAAGTAGATCGCTTTCTTGAAACAAGTTCCGAAGATGACTGGTGTTCTATCGCTGACCTGATGTTATCACAAACGGTGTCAAGTACTTGTTAAGGACCGGGTGGCTGTTTGCATGTTGTTTTATTAGGAACACGTGCGTATATTTCCTGCTAGAAAAAAAGGGCTAAACTACAAAGAAAATGGCGGACTCAAATTGTCCAACCGAAGATGAAAAGAAAACAAACAAGACCGACATATATATATATATATATATATATATATATATATATATATATATATATATATATATATATGTGTGTGTGTGTGTGTGTGTGTGTGTATATATATATATATATATATATATATATATATATATATATATATATATATAAACAAATATATGTATTAAACAAAACAATTTTACAATGGACATAGACAATGATACTTGTGTATGTATCTGTGAACATATGTGTTTGTTCTTTGGTGAATGTTCGTATTTTGGTGAATGTCCGTATTTTGGTGAATGTTCGTACGTACGTGTATGTGTTTAATGTTCATAGCGTCTTCCCAGAAGTGGGAAACGCTGTCTTTTGTGAGAGCTCAAATTGTAGCGGTGTTCGCTGAAATGAAGAAATAAAAAAGAGGATTTACCAACACCTTCACGCGAGGTGGAATGCGGCACGAGATCTGAAGGAAAGAGAAAGAGAACGAGGCGAGAAATCGCCCAGTATTTATAGTATAGGGAGACAGACCCCTGGTAACGATTTGGGAATTAAGGAGGAGCTAACTCCGACATACTCACTGCCAAAGAAGGGCATATTCTCCGCATTTATGAAGATTAGAAGGCTCAGAAATATCGGGAAATTTTCTCTCCAAAATTGCTATACACTTTGCTAGCCCTCTCATTCGTCAGAAAATATATTCTTATCTCTGATAAGAATCAAAGTTTTAGGAGCTGGTTTTTGGAACAAGTTGTGAGTGTTCCCCCCAGACTTTATAGCACCATGGTCAGGGTAATCGTAGTCAAATTCCTTTTTATATTTTCCACCTGTCTCGTTCGTCAGAAAATATTTTATCTCTGATAAGGATCAAGGCTTTGGGATCCGGATTTGAAAGCAGGGGGTGTAAAGATTAGAAAAGAGACCAGAGAAAGTGAACTTCTAAAACATTGTAGTAGTGTTTCTAAAATTAAATTCTCATACTGTAGGCCAGTAATATTACATATTTTTTGTATGTTATCTATAATTTCTAAATACATAACAGAAGTACCAGACCAGATGTGGCAGCAATATTCAAGGCATGAACAAATGATAGATTTATAAATAGGTAAGATAAATTCTGGCAAGAAAAATTGTCTAGTATGACTCGGTGAATCGACTTTCTTAGTAGGAGACCTAGCAATTGATTCATTGCTTTCCACTTCGTGTCAGCTGAAATATAATGAAAGCAAGAGAAAAGGCAAGAGAAACAATAAGTAATATATTTGACGAGTCTAAGTAAATGGATAGCAGAACAAGTACCAAATAAAGTGAGGTACTAAAGTAGTAAAAGTTGGAAAACAAAGACCAATTAACAAACACGTCACGAAATTACATGTCATGAAAATAAAAGTGGAAGTAACAGGGGAGATTACTCTAAATTTTTTGGAAAGGGGAGATTACTCTAATTTCTTTCACTTTGGACATGCGCTTCATGTACTTCCTTTTTGGAGCGATGTGAATTCTTTTGCACGTGTGTATTTTCGTCTCGGAAATAAAATTAAAAAAAAAAAAAAAGGAAAGAAGTCCTAAAGATTTTTATTTTGGTTTAATATTTCCGACATGAATGCTGTGCCGTGTTTAACTTGGATAAAGCGAGGGGTCGCTAAATCTAATCCGGACAAGGTAACTTTATTTATTTTTTTCAAATTAGGTACGTCCAAAGTCCTGCGCCTTTTCGACACGTGAAAAAAAAAACGATACCCCACTGTTTTAAAAATATTACCAAAAATCAGTTAACTATATGTTTTCATTGAAATTTGTCGGACTGTTTCATTAGTGAATGAACTTTATATTTGCTTTAAATATAACTTTTATTTATTTATTTATTTATTTTTCTTTTTTGTGGAAATATTTTTTCTAATCAGTTAGTGTCAGTTACCCCTATTTACTTTAACTAGTGGCTAATTACTAACTAGTAAATATTTTACATTTTTATAAAAAGCTAAATCCACGAAGGTGTTCAATGTTATGGAGTATGACCACATCGGAAATATGGTCCGAAATTTTAGAAGAATTCAAGAAAACTCAAGAATTACTTTTGTTTGAGAGTTGCTGACCAATTTTTTACTGCATATATTTTTTTCTTCCGACGGGAAAAATATCCCTAAACCTGAACCTGCATATTTGTGAAAAATTGACATGTATTTTTTTTACACTGTAGTGTAAGGTTTTTTTAAATGGCTTAAGTCCGACAATTATATTTTCTATTTTTAGACGTTATAATTTATTTAATTTAAGTAAACAAATTCTGTTTCAATTAAAAAACAGTATTTGTTACATTTACCGGCCTGAATGTCAGAAATTTCGTAGAAAATATACGTTCTCCAAGAGGAATAGAACGTGTATTCGGTATTCCTATACGAAAACCGTCATTTGGTCTGACGTGTTATACCATTCACTCAGCTATAGAGAAACATCTGGTTTTAACTTTTAACAAAGTCTGACTTACTGTTTATAAACACACAATCTTCGATTATTTTTCTCGGTCGATCATTTCTGCTCACAAAACATATCTTAAACAATGACAACAATGAAATGGATTAAGTTCGAAAATTATTTAAATATATTTTCCTGTTTAGACGTGTTATTTTGATTACAATTTATTTAAGTAAATGCTCCATTTTTTTAATTAAACAGTATTTATTACATTTACCGGCTTCAATGTTCGAGAAATAAATAAATTAAAAATAACATAAAATTAAATTTAGGTACTTTCATGAGATTGCTAAAAAAAAAAAGCATAATCTGATGAAAAAGACTCAAAGCTTGACGAAAACAAAATTTTATTGTCTAAAAATGTTTGTTATTACTAAGAGAAGAGACTGAAGTATTTTTTAATTATTTAAAAAAAAAATTCCTTTAGAACATTCTCTAAACTTTGATTTAAAAAAAAAAAAAATATTTTTCAGTGAAACTAGTAAATAACAAATTTTTAGCACTTTTTGTATGACAGATATTAATTTGGAAAATATGGCAAAAATAAAAAATAATTGTCAAATGTTAATAAAACTTTCAGAAACTATTCACAAATGATGGAAATTATTATTCGTTTTCTTTCTTTAAAGTCATGGCAATTTTTTTTTTTTTTTTTATATTTGTTACCCCCTTCCTAACTAATTTTATGAAAACTCTAGAAATTCAATTGCATTCAGTTTGAGGAAAGCAAATCTCACACACACATATATATATATATATATATATATATATTTTTAATTGGACTCCCCTACCAGAAAATAAGCTCTGAATTGTAACATACAAAACTTAATAAAACAAAGATATTATTTAATTTCAAATGCTTTTAGTTGTTTTTATGAATATGGGCAATATTTTCTGAAAGCAAAAAATTTTTTCACTGAAAAATGAATTTTTAATACAATTATTTGTTATTTCTTTAATTATTAGATTTTTACATTTAAGTTGTTAAAATATTATGAAATTAGTTAAAATCCACATTCAGTTTCATAAATGTCCTTATGAGATAAATCTTTTTTTAGCGCATTGTAAAATGTATAATTTCGACCAATCAGAAGACTCACAGTAATTAAGAAATGTAATTTTAAGTTGTGTTATTTGAGTTAAACATTGTCTTCTGCTGTTAAGGCTTTTATCTTTGCAAAACACATGTGGAGAAGTTAATTTGATTTTTCAATTTCAACTGAGAAGGGTACCTACAAGTATTAGGTACCTATCTTATGAAATTTATATGATCTTATTTTTATATTATCTCAGTTATGATATTTTTCCATAAATGAAGTATCAAAATTAATAATAAAATGAATGGAAATACAAATAACACAGCAAAATGTAATAAATGTACATAAAATTATAGTATTTTATGTACACTTCTGATAAAGTTTCATAAGAAAGGTACCAATAAATCAATTAGATACCTTTCTTATGAAATTTAATCTCACTCTCAACAGTCTTATTTTAATTTCTTTATAATATATTTTCCATAAAGCATCGTAAATGTAAAGGTGAAAGTACAAAAAGAAAATTAGAGTGCTGAAAGTTTTCCTTAAAAATAACGAGGTAAATAATTTGTTCACTTAAATCTAAATTTCACTTCTCTCCTTCCATAAGCTGTCAACCAATCTAAATTTCACTTCTTATCCTCATGTAAGCTGTCAACACATGATGAAATGTTATGACCTGCTTTGTTTTATTTTCAAACTACATCTTCGGTGCAGAAACTAAGTAATGCAGGTTTCAAAATATTTTAAATAAACATAATTTCTGATTTTCTTAAAATAAGTTTTGAAAAAATTATAATTGATTTTTAAAAGAATTCCAAACTGAAATTTTCCTTTTTTTTTTTTTTTTTTTTTTTATAAAATGGAGAAAAATGGTTGACATGATTGATTATCTGTCAATTTTGCTGACTCAAAAAAAAAAAGATTTTTAATGAAAATTTTGGATATGCTAGAAACAATTAAAAAATGTAAAAAAAAAATACCCCCCAAATACTTTGATCTTTCTATTTAATAATAACATATAATGATAAAGTTTTGTTTTCATCAAGCTTGGTGTCTTTTTCGTCATGCTACACTCTTTTTTAACAATCTCATGGAGGTACCTAATTAAATTTAAATAACTGTAAACCATTTCATATCTTGGTCGTTACTGACAAAGTCAATAAAATAATGATTTTTTGAGAATCAAAAAATGTAAGGTTTTATTTTATTTTAGATTGCGAGCATTATTTATTTTCCAATGGTTTGATTTGTTTTTATTCTACGGATGATCAAATAAAATAAAATTCTGAATTATGTCCCTGGACATTAAAAAAAATATCCTTTTCAGGACCAGCAAAAATTCTCATGCTGATAGTATTTTTGTCTAATAAAGCTTTTGTTTAATAAAGCTTTCTAATTTATAAGCTCCCATATATTTTTTACTTATGGCTTGATTGATTTTTTTTTTTTTTTATAAGTATTTCCCATATGCTAAGACACTACAAGTGGTAAAACATTACGTATAACTAGCCAGGTAATCTTTGGAAAAAGAAAATATTTGCAGATTTAATAGCTTATGATACGAGCAAGTCCAAGTCACTGAAAGTATGATTTTTCTTTTTGTTTTTCTTCCCTGCCACCTAATGAACTTTAAAAGGCTTCTGATGTCATTATGATGATGTCGGAAATACAGTAAAGATAACGGAATCACTTGATTGAGGAGATGTAACTGAACTGACAAATATTCTCACAAATTATTCTAATTTATAGTTTCGTGTATATTTTTAATTTATGGTGTGAATGTTTGGAAGTAGGAGACAGGGCTGTGGAGTTGCAGAGTCGGAAGCAAATAAGGGATCCCTGGAGTTGGTAAAACTATACTGACTCCGACGGATTCGATAAATGTATAAAGTTCCTCTAATTTAACACATTTATGGAATCCATTTATCACAGTAACATGGATTTTTCTTTATCAGGGACAAATTCATGTAACACCATCTTTTTCTCTTTTTTTTTATCTCTCATTCTCGCTGCATCGCCTTTTTTTTTTTTAATTTCTTCTTAACTGTTTCAATTTCCCTCTTTTTCCATTATAGCATAGATTATGCTTAGCATTCCCAGTTGATTTTTTTCATCTTTATTTTTTCTTCTAACTATTAAAATCCACAAGTCTAGCCCATTTGACACCAGTGCACATTTTCTTTTTTTCAGTAACCTGAGGGTAGGGGCTAAGCAAAAAAAAATTTTTTATTAAAGTAAATTAAAATTTTGATAATTTTCCTTCTTTTTCACAGGTACAGCTTGACAAGGAAATACTGCGTCGAATTATTGAAGAGACAAAAGAGTTTGTATTGGATTTAATTTTTTATGTTGATGTAAATTTTAAAATCTTCTTGACATTGTTAGTATTAAGTATAAAAGTGTTTATTATTAAGTGTTATTATTAAGTATAAAACATATGCCATAATTTCAACTGTGGTATTTCATAAGAAACCCTAGTTATTGTGATACTTTTAACTAGATGGCTTACAGCCATATCACATTGAAATACTAGTTTCTGTACTATCACTGAAGTTAAACAATGTCTAGCCTGGTCAATATCTAGATGGTGGACCACTTGGGCGATACCAAGTGCTGTAAGCCTGGATGGTGTAATGGATAATGGCTCAGAATTGTTAATCAGAGAGTCAAGTTCCAATTCCAAATGGGTTTGTTATATTCACTTACATGCAAATATCCTTAGAAAAGAGATGAATTCACTGCTTCTCTCCCCAGCTATGTGTTAATTAGTAGGACTTATATAACTAAATCATTATTCTTTCTCTCAAAAAAATCTTACAAACTAAAAATTTTCTGGCTTTAAAGGGTTGATAAGCTGTAGAAAACAAATCAATTTTAGCCAGGAAATCCATTGGTATCACATTGTTTTGGCTTTGGTTTCAGTAGACTCTGAGCCTCACCTTGCCAGCAGTGTTGATATGGGATCCCCATGCTTCCATTTTTTTGGACTGTATTTTGGTTTGATTTTGTGGTCAAAGTGGTGAATCCATGTTAAACAGAAAATATCCATCTTGCAGAAGTAGGCAAAAAACATTCTTGGTTTTTATGAAATATGACCAGAATCTACTGAGAGCAATTGGCTACCAAATTAAACAAAATTTAAAATTCTCAGCGTTGCTTATTTGTGTGCATATGTAGTTGCACCAACATTAGAAATTTAGTCTGAAGTCTTAAAGGATGAAATGTGTCACAAAAACAATTTTAACATTTGGTTTTACATTTTATATATATATATATATATATATATATACACACACACACACACACACGTGTATGCCTATTATACATGTGTGTATGGGCACATGATGCAGTTAAAAAGATTTAACTACTCAATATAAAACCAAGCCCTGCAGCCGCCCAATAAAACCTCTTCGGTATCAACCACTGACAAAAGCTGAAGTATCAGCCAAAACTTTTGTGATTTCCCAAAAAAACCTTTGTGCTCCTATATGCCAACTAAATAATTACACACACACACACACACACACATTCAAAATGTAATAAAGCTCTGCCATTTAATCTGGCATAGAGCACTCTTCTTCTTCCCAACCCCCATTTGCAATCTTAGCAAATTCTTTTGGGTGCTGCTTTCATATAAGAGTTGGGCGGTTTAGCAATTTATGTTTCAGTATTGGTTTCCATTTTTTTTTTTTTTTTTTTTTTTTTTTCTTGGTACCGCAGTTTTCAATTTGGTGTTTCAGGTGTTAATTTGGTATTTCTTGCTTTTTAAGGAAACCATTCGTTTTCTTGTGTAATGATAGCATTTCCAGTCGATATCTGATTTTGTTTGATATTGATAAATTTGCAACTTAGTCCGTTCAACTCGCAATTTATCGTGTATTTCTGGTCCAATCTTAAAAATATTCATATGGCTGCAAAGAAAATAATCTTTCTAAATATGTAATTTGTATGCGCTTTTATTCATTTAATTTTTTTTTTTTTTTTTTTTTTACAGCGAGTATTTTCCTTTGAACAGCTGAAAATAAAAAAATATGATTTTCTCCCCCAAAGACTAAATTTTACACTTACTTTGATTTGCAAAATCAAATGACCAATCTTTTTCAATATTCTATTATACTCAAGACACATTACACTACAGCCAGGAAGATGTTCATTTCTTCTCTGACCCATGGAAGTGAATTCCTTTAAAAATTATAAAGTAACCAAAAAAAAAAATGTGTCTGACACCGACAGACACTTATTTTCAATTAAAGTTTATTTATTAAACTTTTGAATAAATTGTCAACTATAAATAAATACCATATTTATTAACAAAATGGTACGATACAAAAGAAATCATCACATAAACTATCTACATTTTTGTGTCTTTGGACAACACATTTGAGAGAGAAAATGGGATAGCTCTCCAGAAATTAGTTTATGATATCACTTTTAAAAATAAAAAAAAAATGAAACCCCTCATGTTTTTAAAAATATAGCAATTCTTTTCTGGTACGGCAGTCAACTGTTATTGGGGTTTTGCAAATAAATTTCTTCTAAACAAATCCCAAATCTGCAAGTATCAACTGTTTTTTTTTTTTTTTTTTTTTTTTTTTTTTTGATAAACCTTTTAAAACTGAAATTAAAAACTATTTTAATTATTTTAATCTAATCTTACTTAAGTGTATTCGTTAGATAAAACCATAAAGATATTTGTAAAAATAAAATGAATTAATTTTCCTTGTTTAGAAGAATTTTATAGGCAGAACACCCACTGAACTATAGTGGCTAAAAAAAAAATCATTTTTACTTTGGGTTTAAAGAAAAATGACTTGCAAGTTTTGAAAATTGAGATTAAAACTTACTTTATTTTTTTAATATTTAATTTTAGGTGTATTCACTAGATAGAAACATCATTTTATTTGTAGAAAACAATTTTATTTTTAATTTTACATTAGAGACCCACATATCTGGAAATATACAAATTTTAAAAATGAAATTAAGAACTATTTTAATTTTTAATTCTTAGTATCTAACTTAGGTGCATAAAAAAACAAATTTATTTATTTGAAAAAAAAAATTTTCATTCATTTTTCTTGTTTACATTTTTTTTGTGATTGGTGTACTGGCTTATTAGGAAACCCTTAGAAAAAATCCAAATTCATAAAATTTAACATTAAGATGAAACTTGTAACTATTTTTTTTATTTTTACTTGTTATTTTGTTATTAACTCAATCTTACCACAAATTTTTTTCTTTTCTATTTTGGAAAATTGAAACAAATAGATTTCACTTTCAGACATGTTGTATTTCCTTTTTTTTTTTTTTTTTTTTTTCTCCATTTCTTTTGTAAACAGATATTTTTGTTCAATCTTTCTCTCTTAGAACAATTGTATAAATGTTGATAAAATTTAATTTTATTAACATCTGAATATCTTTTTCAATAGTGTTTCTTTGGATATGGTCACTCAGTAGTGATAGCACTTTAAAAAAACAAAAAAAAAACTTATGATTTCGGTTTTGTAAAAAAAATTGATGCAGTTTCATGGTGTGAAGGTGGAACCTTAAAAAGTCATTTTTTCGGTTAAACCGCCCATCTCTAATATATATATATATATATATATATATATATATATAATAATGGACTCTCCCATCATTTTCGGCATATGAGTGTCTAGGAACCTACAGCCAGACTCCCCCACATATGATTTGATTACACTGGTGAAGGCTTTGTGCAGAGCCAACCAGACTTCTTGAAAGGCTGAATACAGAGACCTGGTGCACATTGTGCCACAAGGTCCCAAAACAACCCTCCACAGGTTTTTACTTCCGAGTTGTCCTTCTCCTAGACCAGTTGCCATCCAAGGCTATAGTACTTGGTCTGTACTGCTATTTTACCATAGCTGGAAGGAGAAGAGGAGGATCCATACCTTTCCCAAATGTATTAGCACATCAGTGAATGTAATGGATTCAACTGGAATTCAAACTTGGCTCTCGGATTCCTCAATCCGAGCTGCTATCCATTACTCCATCGTGTGAGATATATATATATATATATATATATATATATATATATATATATATATATATATGTGAGAGAGAGAGATAGGGAGGGGTCATATAAAGATTTTGTTAATGATGCAGAATTTTATGGTGTAGAGTGGACCTTTTGAGTTAAGAACCAAAAGAAAAAAGATATTTAAAAACTTTATTTAACTTAGAAGAATTTTTTTTTTTTTTTTTTTAATGCTATTCTTTGCTTCTCCTTTGGGAGTCCATGTTTTAATTATTGTCATTTTTTTTATGCCTTAATTAAAATTATGAATCCTTTTGATACAGTAGAACCTTTTTGGTAATAATGTCAAATACAAAAGGCCTAAACACGTCAACTTCAAGATAAATTGATTTTTTTTTTTTTTTTTCATTTGCTACAGAGAGATCAAAGAACATGAAGATGGGGAGAATGGGGAAGGCACAGATGAAGAGGCTGAAGTAGATGCGATTGCAGACAAAAAACAAACTAAAGGATCACCTTCTGAGGTTGGTCCCTCAACATCTGGGGAAGGAAGCAGTTCATCTAATGAAAAAGTGACAAAACGAAAATTAGATGATTCCGATATGGATCTAGATGATGCTGATATCATAGATAAATATGGATTGGATGACTATGATGATGAAGGTAAATATTTTAAGCTAGATTCCTTCAATCACGGTTCTCCACAACTTCCTTTTCTTTAGTGTCTATATAATTGGGTAGTACTATGACTGTCACTGGGAAAGGAAGCAGTGGTTTTCTATCAACAGCAAATTTTCTACCATTAACATTGATTTACATTATTTACACTATTGTCATCATCTCGTTTTCTGTTTAGGATTAAGTTTCCAATTCCTTCTAAATTTTACTTCAATTCTATGTTTCTGTCATCTCTGACTAAACTCTGAACTTTTTTTTCTTTTCTTTTTTTTTTCCATAAGTGTAAACAGGTTCACACTCCTCCTTGTTTTATTGAACAGGTGTAGAGGTTTATCCCTTATTTCCTGATTGGGTTTTCAGTTCCTTCTAAGTTCTACTTCAGTCCTATACTTCTAAAGCAGTGGTTCTCAACTAGGGTCTATGTAACTTTTCTGCTGGTCCACGCAAAAAATAGCAAATTGAGGGTCTATGGTAACATTTTAGTGGCCTGTAGAAAATTTCATTTTGGAACAGTTGTTACAACTGAGAATTGGAATTTCTACATTGTATTAAAATACTAAAAATAGAAAAACAAGTCTAAAACTAGCAGGAAATGAGATCGTGATGTAAGTTAGTGTCCTTTTAACTCCACTGGATATTTTGATTGTAAAAGTTGAATAAAAGCATACACACATATATATATATATATATATATATATATATATATATATATATATATATATATATATATAGGAAAGATTATAATTTATGGTATAAATTAATTTAATATAATAATAATAATACTTTTAAATATTAATATAAATTAATTAATAATAGCAATAGACTCAACATTATGAATAGGGTTGATCTTGAGCTATCATTGACATTGATGGTGCCAAATATAAAAAAAACTCTCTGAACAGCATCAACTACAGCAATCTCATTGAATAAATCTGCACTTTTTTAATTTATTAATTACTTGTATATTTTTAAATGGTTTATTATAAGTTATTTTATGAGTGTACATAAATATTCCATAGAATTTAGTTGTTAATACAAATTTATTTTCATTAAATTAGATTTACTTTAAAATAAAGCATATACAGTTACTAGTTTTATAATACTATTCCTAAACTTATTGATTAGTAAAAGTTTTTTTTTTTTTTTTTTCATTGACTAGTTATGGGTAGGGGGGTCTAGTATAAAATGAGTTTTTCAGAAAATGAGATCAAGCAAAATAAGTTAGCATCCCTTTACTCTAACGGTTGTTTTGATTGTAAAAGTTGAATAAAAACTGAGAAGAATATATAAAGTAAGGATTATATATGTAAAGGAAAATTATATAAAGATTATAAATTTATTGTAGAAATTAATTTTATATATTAATAATAAATAATATTAATCTTAAAATATTAATATAAATTAATTAATGTATTAATAGACTCAACATTGTGAAAAGGGGTGATCTTCAACTATCATTGACAACGATGGAGCTGAATATAAAAAAAATTCACAGAGCAACATCAACCACAACGATGACATTGAATAAATCTTCACTTTTTGTTAATTTATTAATTACTCATATATTTTAAAATGATTTATCATGAGTTATTTTACTAGTTTACATAAATGTTCTCTTGAATTGTTAAATACAAGTTTATTTTCATTAAATTAGTTTCACTTCAAAATAAAGCATATACATTTACTATTTCTATAATACTATTCCTAAACTTATCTATTAGTATAAAACTTAAATAAGCTTCTTTTTTTCTCTTTTTTTTTTTTCATCAAATGGGGAACTACTAAAAAAATAAAGAGTAAAAGGGGTCCATGGGTAAAAAAGGTTGAGCACCACTCTTCTAAACTTTTTTTCCTTAAATAGGAGTAGATAGGTTTGCCTATCGTCTGGTTCACACTCCTCCCCAATCTTTTGAAGAGGAGTAGAGGTTGGTAGCATATGCAAGACACCGTAGAAGGTGGACCTAGAGGACACCAATGCAGAAACTGGTTGGGCAATGTCTAACAATGGATAAGTATGACTATACTAGAATTGCTGATGGCTGCCATTGATAGAACGATGTGGAGGAGATTCAATATGGCTTCTGCATTCAGATCCTCCCGATGATTACAAAAGTCAAGGAGATGATGAGTGGTTTATTTCTTGTTTCCTGCTTAGAATTAGGTTTCCAGTTACTTCTAAATTCTACTTCAGCTTTAGAACGATGTGGAGGAGATTCAATATGGCTTGTGCATTCGAATCCTCTCGATGATTACAAAAGTCAAGGAGATGATGAGTGGTTTATTTCTTGTTTCCTGCTTAGGATTGGGTTTCCAGTTACTTCTAAATTCTACTTTAGCTTTATACTTGTTAAGTTTCCACCTCAAGATTAGGCAACATTATGCAAATGGCGCTTTCAGTGACTAATTTATGGATAAATTATTCATTATAGTAAATAGATAAATAGAAATTGAATTAACTGGTGTCAGTTTTAAATGATGCATAACCTTTTATATCTGAATTTTTTTTTTTTTTTAAATTATCTTCCGTAACTTTCTACGTTTTGATTTTTTTACACAAATAGAACCAGGAATAATATCCTGAGTAGATAAGGGGAGACAACTCCAATTTTACAATTTCCAAGTTACCTACCCTTGTAAACATTTTGAATTAATATGGTTACGTTTTACTGTTTTATTTAGGCACCTCCGCATTTCGGCATAAATTTTCGATACCTAAGGTTTAAAATTAAATTCTAAAAATGAAAAAGCTTTCTTGAAGATTTCATCTTAGCTTTAATTTACAGATTAATGATTAGATTTATTATTTCCATTAAGTAAAATATTCTGGTGTATTTCAGATAGAAATTATATAGATTGGAATGTCAAATTTGATTTTGATTTCTTAAAATTGTCTTAAAAGCGGCCATTTTCTTAATTTTAAGAAATTTGTAAACAAAAAAGTTTAAAATTATTTAAAAAAATATTCTCCTCTTTCTGACACGTTATTTGAGTAAAATTAGAATATTTAAAGTTAAATTATTCTGATTTGAAATAAATATTACTTACTTGTAGCATAAAACAGTAATATACAATCAATTATTAATGATTGGTCCTGTTCATCTGATCTGAGGTTTGATGGACTGCTGATTGACAAAGAGATGACAGCTACTATGGATGACTCTAATTGACATAGTTTTCAGAAATCTAAGTGAACGCATTTTTTTTGGTTTTTAACTACCTACTAACTTTTACAAATGAACATATTTTCCGCAACTATTTAATACTTTATTGACTTATTTACCTTTCAAAATGCAAAAATAAAAAAAAATAAAATTTTCTTTAATCAATTTTATAATTTAATAACAAACGAAATACCATGATTATTCAATTGAAGTATGACCCACATTAATGTAAGTACATAAAATAAAAATAATTAGCGAAATAGTAATTGAAAAAAGTAAAATTTAGTTTAAGTTTTAAACTTTTAAAGCTGGATGGAAATTTTGAAAACCTGTTGAAACGTAACTGAAGCGTCCTAATAAAGGGACAAAACTTTTTAGATCATAATGGCAATTTCAGTCTACCATACATGAAAATAAGGAACATATTAAGTAAAAAAAAAATACAAAATTATTTTAGAAATAGAATAGCTCAACTAAGTTGATTAATTTTTTTTCAATTTTGGATTTGTAAATTTTGTTTCGACTTAATTAATTTATCACATCCAGGAAATAACACAATACAGAATTTTACACGATTTTAAACTATTATAAATTATTATAATTAAAAAATGAAAAAATTCTTGTAAAAATTCATTATTCATCAGAAAAATTTTATTTCTTTAAACAATAATGTCCTTAATTATTTACAAAAGCAATTAAAAGCTTTTCTAATTAAATAATGTCATAGTTTTATTGGATTCATTATTTTTCAATTCAGAGCAGATTTTTGGTTAGATAGCTCAAATTTGAAAAAAAGTAAGTGATTTACAATCTCTAAAGACTCCTACTTTTAACAAAAAAAAAAATAATTCAGGAAATAGAAAGTTTTTGTGCAAAATTTCATGAAATTAAGTAAGGTGGAGGTAACATTTTGAAAAAAATATTTTTTACCAAAATTTTCTATTTAAAAAAAAAAAAAAACATTTAAAAAATAATTTCATTCATTTGTAAATAAGACCTGAAAATTTCATTAAAATCGGACAATTATTTGATTTTGACAAGAATTTCCAAATCAATGTATGTTTTCAACTGAAATAACACGCAAAAACGTCAATGTTATTATATAGCCGCCATGATGACGTAAACAAAAGATTTTAACCAAAATTTTGAACGTATTAGAAAGGATTAAAAAATTTTTTTAAAATAATTAAAAAATACTTTGGTCTTTCATCTTAATAATAACATAAACATTTTGACGATAAAACTTTTTTTTTAATTAAGTTTGTGACCTTTTTCATTACGCTATGCTGTTTTCCGCGAAAAAGTGCCTAGTTTTATTGCTATTATATACTATTGACGTATTGCTTTCTTTTTTCCTCACTCTTACAGATGTCTATTTCCAGCAAGGAATTGGTAACATAGTTTATTATGCTGATAATGATGAGGACCCATATTTGTCAAAAGATGATCCTGTAAGTGGATTGTTTTGTTTTTGTTTTTGGTATAACTACTTGGGATCAGAAAATTTTTTTTGTGATGTCTCTTTGTCCACTTATTGCTTTTATCACTGTAAATTGGTCCCACTATGGAACCCAAAACAAAATAGCCCCATATTATTTAATTTAAGAAAAAAAAAAATTTTAAATTAGCAAACTTAAACATTCATGCCTGAAAAAAAAGAAAAAAAAATGGCATCAGAAGGGCATTTCTTCCCTTGACACCGCTGTTATTTTAACTCCCTTTGTTCCTCAGCGACGTGTTTTTTTTTTGTTTTGTTTTTTTTTTTTAAGGTCATGATTAGAGTTTGGAAACCTAAACATGTGATAAAAGTGGATTTATACATTCTTGGGAATTTACAACAAAAATATTTAACACTTTATTTGTTAGATTATTTACAACATTCTAAAAATCTAATACAATTTTATTAAAACTAATGCAATGCAATATTTATCATTTACCAATTTATAAAGATATAAATGTGAAAACAATTATTTACTCATCAATTTATAAATAAATTATTAAAATATGTGAACCAACAAAAAGTTAAATCTTACCATTTTAGAAAGTTTGGATCAATTGGCAATTAGCCGATGTTTTCCCAAAGATTCCAATAGACAATCTAATAAATAGTATTTTATTATTTTTGTTATTTTTCAGGAACAAAGAAGTATAAATTCGCTTTCGTATATTTAGGTTTATTAAAGTTCTAATTACTTTGTTTGTAATTTGTCATCTAGAGTACTTTTTTCTTATCACTATAAATTAGGCCCTCCAGATTGCAAATTAAAAAAAAATTATCTTTTTAGATTTTAAGAAATCCTGTGTTATTGGCATATGTTTTGTTTTTCAAGTGTGGGGTAATTTATATTACAAACTAGACCCACCTCTAACTTTTATAAAACAATTATTTTGGTTTTTATACCTCAATGAGAAAATTTGATTAAATAATACTTTTTAAGGGGTGCTGTAAATTTTTTTTCCAAGTCTATTGTGCCAAATTCAGTAGACATTTCCAAAAATCAGTTTGAATTTAGTCTTTGAGGAGCCTCTATTCTCTTCTTGGCTTATCTATGCCAGTAATCAAATAAAGGCAATGGTGATGGAAGCAGTGATTGTCTTAGATGTTGATGGGATATTTTATGAATATGACCTCTGACAAAATATTTGAATTACCAGCAATTAATAAATCCTACCTATGATATGGTTTGCATAAACAGCTTGTGATAAAATGTTATTTACAAGATTTAAGAAGAAAAAAATCATTTTCTTTTCTCTTGCCAGGAAGACAGTGATGAAGAAGACTTTGAAATTCAAGCCACAGACAATTTACTTGCTGTTGGGTGTTCACAAAAGGATTCTTGTCTCTTGGAGTTTTATGGTAAGCATTTAGTCTTATTGGCACTTGGAAGTTTGTAGTAGGTACTCTTTGCTTTTTCATTCAGTCTTGTTTGTTTTGGCGTCAGGTACTTTAAATATTTCATATGGAATGAAGTAATTTGAGTGTTCATAAAAAATGAATTTGAAGTTTTTTTTCTTCATCCATTTTTCTTTCCGCTTTATGCCATGATTTTCTTGTTTTCTCCTTATTTTTCTTTGATTTTCTCTTTCCCACCTTATTTTTTTTTTTTTTTCTAACTCGAGCCACAAAAATACACAGAAAACTTCCCAAATTTATAATATTGCTCAAGAGAAAGACTTCCTCTAACTAAACTGTTTCTGTTTATCATCCAAAGGCTCATCTCTCTGATGATCACCCCCCAAGACTATTCAGAAACTTCAACAATGGTACTCTCCTCATAAAGGTGGCAACAACAAAAAAAAATACTTTGACACACTTCTGGGGATGAAAAACTTCATAATAACAACATTAACACTTGGGGAGCCTTCAAGAATTAACTGCGGTGCTACAATCAAAATACAGAAGTCAGAGGGTCCTACTTTAAAGGCGATCAGAGTTTTGTATTGTTTTGAAATAAATGCGTCTCACCTGAAAAATTCTCTAAACTTCTTCAGTGTATCTTTGTGTGTGATGGTGGCTAGCTAATCTATTCAAATACATTTTTCTTTCTTTAACAGCCATAGAGTTGTGGTTTATATTGCAACTTAGTTACAGTTTCTGGGAGAGAGTGTACAATCAAGTGGGATCATTTGTTGAACAAGGCTGGTATGCTCAAACCCTTAGTCATAATGACTTGTGACTTCATGCAAACACAACCATCAATACCTGAGCTGCATGGCTACAAAAAAAGAATTACATATCATTCTCACTGGGATTTTCTTCTATCTGCCATGTCCCTTCTAGACGTTGGCAATTGTGTCTCTCCACAGTTTCCTGTAGCTCTTAATAAATTTAGTCTTTTTGTTATCTCTTCTAAACCTTGTTCCACCATTCATTTACTCAAACTCACCAGGTAGGTTATGCATCGTTTTCCTCTGTTCTTCTTACCTTCAATCTATCTTGTGAGTATCAAATTTTCCAAGCTCTCCTTCCTTATTATGTTCCTTAGAAATTTCAGCTACCTCATTATTATTTTTTTCCAGATGTCTGATTTTATCACTGATAAAGTAATATTTCTAAAGATTTATTGTACTACTACTTCTTAGTGCCGTGTCCCTTCAGAGCATTGGTGATCATGGCTCTCCACAATTTCTTGGCCTTTATAGCTCTTAGTAAATTTAGTCTTTTTGTTATCTCTCCTAAACCTTATTCTGCCATCTTAAACTCACTATCATGCATTGATTTCTTCTGTCCCTCTTGCATTCAATTTATCTTGTGATTATTAAATAAGCCTTCATTTTTTTTCTCATTATGTGTGCTAGAAATTTCAGTTATCTCTTTCTGATGTTATGTCAAAGTGTCTTTTTTGTTTCCATTTTCCCTAAAACTTCATCATTGCTCAAATATTCTGTCCATGGTATTCTCAGCATCCTCATGTAAGACCACATTTCTGTTGCTTCAAGTCTTCTCAGGATATAAGCAATCATGTCTTCTGCAACTTCCTGTCTTTTGTAATGCATAATAATGTTAAAATGACTCATGTAGCAGTTCAGTACCCTACTTTTTTTTCTTTTTTTTTTTTCTTTTTTTAATTTTCCTGCTTCTTAATACTTTGCTTAGCTTTTAGAAGGCATCTTTTGCTATCCCAATGCGTCTTCAGATTTTAGTATTGCACTCTCCCTCATGTTTATTACCATGTTTTATATTTTTTCTTTTCTTATTTTCAGTTTATGATGAACCAGGAAATTGTTTGTTTGTTCACCATGATATCATTCTGCCTTCCTTTCCTTTGGCTGTCGAGTGGCTGGATTTTGATCCCTCTGATGACAAACCAGGTAAAATATCTGTCCTTTTGTCTTCAAGACTATTTTCCATAATTACCTTTTGTATAAATACACGTTGTTCGGAACGAGTTATTCCCCTTGAATTGTAACTCTTCCAGATAAAAATAGACGACATCGTGGTTATCAAGCCTAGCAACATGTATGCACATTTTAAGTCGAATAAAGTTTTTGTAATGGGTTTTTACTGACGCTCTTTCTTTGAGTGAAGAAAATATATTTCTGAAGTGTCTTATTTCTGCATTTTCTTATTCTAGACTTTGGCATTCATAACTCATCTTTACAATAGTTTATTTTAAAATGCAATACCTAACATTTAAAATTAATTTTTTATTCATGAAATGTTTTTCTTTGAAGCTTTTAAAAATATTCAAGGTCTTCAGATTGTAATAAGTTTTACAATATATCATTTAAACATAGTTATACTTAATAACAATATTTCCTAAGAGTTACACTATTAAAACTTAATTTTAAAAGATTTAAAAATATTATAAATTATTCTAATTAAAATTATAAAACAAAACAAATTCTGTAAATTTCCATAGTAAAAATTTTTTTTTCTTAAAATATTGTCTTTATCTAATTTATAAAAGCAATTAAAAGCTTTTTTTTATTTTTTGATTCAGAGAAGATTTTCAGTAAGATTCGATTTTACAAAAATTGATTTAAATTCTCCAAAGAGTTCTGCTTTGGATTCTAAAAAGGATTAAAATATTTAAATATTAAAAAAAAATACTTTGATCTTTCCTCTTAATAATAACAAAGGTTTTGACAATAAAATTTTGTTTTCATTATGTTTAAGTACTTTTTCATTACAGTATGCTAATATTTTAGCAAATTTGTGGTGGTACCTCATTTATTTGTACATTTAGTAAAAATCACCAAGATGTCAAGCTATAAATTGTGTTGAAGTCATCTTTGTTTTCTCACTTTCTCTCTGCTCACCTTTTTGTTTTTCCTCTTTCAAACTGTAGAATTGTTTTCTTTGTCTATAAAAGATAAAAAAGACATTAAGGAATCTGAAATTTTTAATAGCCACTGATATATACAAAAAATGTTTTACAATATAAACAAAAATAGTTTCAATTTAATTTCTAATGTTGTTTGTTTTCAGGCAATTTTGTGGCTGTTGGTTCAATGGCGTCAACAATTGACATTTGGGATGTAGATTTAATGAATTCCCTTGAGCCTGTCATGGTTCTGGGGAACAAAAAGAGTCAAAAAAAGAATAAAAAGGTGAATATAATTTCTTCTTTCTTGATTGCATCACTGATAAATTCAAAGCTGGTTGGGATCAAATTCATGAAAAGAGTTAGCGAGACCAGGTTTCAAATCATTGATACTTGACAGGGCGGCCTTTTTAACTTATTGTGAAGATTGAGTCCACTGCAATTGTAATGGTCCTGGATATCGATTTGCTAAACCATTGATGTGGCACCATTTTCAGCTTCATATAGCGCAATGCTACAAATGTGCTACTTTGAAATATGGGTAGGCAGCACCAGTCATAGTTTCGTCCAATATCTCAAGATGCTACAAAACCATAACATTTAGAGTCATGTTCTTAACTAGCCTCATCAAATCTAGACTCTCATATGGATGTCATGCATGGCATCCAACTCATGAAATATTTAAACCAGCAGCTATATACAACCATTTTCTCAGATCAATGATAGGCTTAACACCAGTTAAAGCAACATTGGGCCTGGTCAGTAACTAGATGGGTTACCACTTGAGAATTCTAGGAGCTGTCAGATTGGATGTGCAGGTGGTGTATGGAGATAATGACTTGGAATTGTTAAGCACTGAGGCAAGTTTCAATTCTAGTTGGGTTCATTATATACATTTGTGTGTAAATATCCTTGGGAAAGATATGACTCCACCCCTTCTCCCCCAACTATGGGTTAAATTCTTACAATCTAAAAATATTTTCTGGCTTTAAATTACCTACGGGGATGGGGGGGGTTCAGCCATAGAAAATGAATCCATCCATCCATCAATCAATCAGGTCAATGATTAAAAATGGATTCAAGCAAATGTATCCTGCAAATTTTAAAGAAATATCCTTCATTAGATCTTGTAGACTTTTGCTACAGAATCACAAAGAATAACAAAAACCATAACACTTGAAGATTTCCAACACCAGCAACAACTAAAATGATTAGCACATGTAACTAGAAGGGGATATAATATAATGATAAGGTCAGAATGATAACAGTGAACTTGAGAAACCTGTTTTCTGGGAAAAACTTTAATAAGAGAAAGAATTTCTAAATTACAGCCAACATTAACTTTGTTTGGTCAATGGATGCTGACTATTCCCTGTCTAGAAACACCTAATTTCCCCATGACCATTAACTAGTTATTTTCTAAATTCTTTATTGTATTCGATACTAATTCGAATTAATTTTTCTTTTCTTTTTAGAAAGGATCCGTTCTTGGCCACACAGATTCTGTGATCGATTTGTCATGGAACCAAAATGCAAGGTTTGTATAAATAATCAAAAAAAAAAAAAAAATCTCCTCCCTTTTCTTTTATATGCGAATATTAATCAATGCGTTAACTCTCCTTGTTTTTTTTTTTTTTTTTAGAAATGTCTTGTCCAGTGCTTCTGCTGACTGTACAGTAGGTTTGTGGGATTTGTCAGAAGCAAAAGCTGTTGCCTCAATCAGGAAGCATGAAGACAAAGTAAGACATTTGCTTCAACATAAATTTTATCCATTGTCATTCTATAATAAAAAAGCAAGTGAAATAACATAAAAGAAATACTAGTCAAAAATTGATAATTCACAATGTTTTATCTAAGAAACTTGGACTGTTTATACTACCATCTACCAACAGGGTCACATCCTTGGTCACAAGCACCAATTTAATATAACCCCCTTTTTGGCTGTGGCCTACACCCAGTGGAATAACCATGTTTTGTGGTTTGGTCCTTGGGTCCGATGACATTTTAAATATGGGGCTAACTCTGTGCTGGTTTTTGGTCGTTGGCCACTTTGGTCCACACCAACTCCGCCCACATTGTGTTCTTGATCTCAGAGCAGTATCAGATCAAATGCCATTGTAACGGCAGCACTGGTTCAAGCCATGGCAGGTGCTACATTAAGGAAGAAAAATAGCTTCACGACAAAAAGTAAAACTAGATTCTTCAATTGGTTTATATAGCTCTTGGTACAACAAAAATTAACCCTTCTCACATCAATCTCTATAGTGACACTGGGACTTGTCTAAACTTCTGAAGCTGGGTTCAAAGTTCTTGGAATCGGGAAATCTAGTTGGCAGCTGGTGCGAATTACAGAGACACTCAATGCGGGATCTCAGCCCAAAGTCTCTGAGCTCCCCAAATCATCTGCTTATATGCATCTTGGCCCAAAACTGGCATGAGGCGAAAGGTTGCTGAAGATTCAGTCATTCCCCAATTCGTTAATTCTAATAAACATTTTCTTTGTTCTCTATTTCTGCTTTCTTAATCAACTTTCCAAATTTGGAGAAGTAATTATCCATCTTCTTTGAGAATAGTCACAAAGATTGCTCTTCACTTAACTCCAACCTGCTTCACTTCACATCTCTCACTGCTACTCTTCTCAGGCAGGGCTAAATTCTGTTCTTCCTTCTCAGTATTCTAACTATGCCCACGTCTCAGGGCTGGCATAACTGTCTTTGTGACAAATCTAATTTTTAAATGGCATGGTTTATTTTCCTCATTAATTTCAATTTCTCTGACTCCTTTCCTGGGCTCTCTTGTCCAGTGAAAAAACACAAACTAGATCACCTTCTCATTTTAACCTTTTGAGTGATAAATAAAAATTATTTTCCAATTTGTTTTCATCAATGAAAATATATTTGTTTATCTAAATTCTCAAGAGAGAGACACAGAGTTGACAAACAAACAGAACTGACAAAGTTTGTAATGAAAAAAGAACAGGACAAAAAATATGGAGCAAATAAAGAATATATACAAGACAAAGCAACAATAATAAGGCGGAAAGTTCACATGCTAAGAATTAGTGTTGACACACAAAAGCGAATTCAGATAAACACACATAGCATTCTGACTTCAAGACAAGTCAGACCGAGACCATCTTATTGGCTAGGAAGAAATCCCAGCATGCATTTGTGTGTTTCTTCTATAAATTGGGAAGTGTGAACTATTTTTGTAGTCCTTCCTTATGGATTGGAACCAGCACTTTAAATACTATTGTACCTGATACTAATATTAACTCGAATTAAGAAATTTAAATACTATTGTACCTGATACTAATATTAACTTGAATTAAGAAATTTAAATACTATTGTACCTGATACTAATATTAACTCGAATTAAGAAATTTAAATACTATTGTACCTTATACTAATATTAACACGAATTAAGAAATTTAAGTACTATTGTACCTGATACTAATATTGATTTTGTTAACATGTCACATTCACAAAACATAATATTCAGATGATGATGAAAATAAACATTGAATATTAACAACATTAACCACATGTATGCATTAGCTGCATGTTTGTTTAGGGGTTAACTTTATTCTTTATTTTTTGAAGCTGTCTAAAATTTCTTTTTTTTTTTTTTTTTTTTTTTTTTTTTTTTTTTCCTTTCTCTGAATTATACAATTGTTTTGTAAACACTAATAAATACATTTTTTTTTCTTTTTTGCGCAAAGGAAATTCCAATGGGATAGAAAGAAGTGCTACATAACCCATGTGAGTGGGTGCTGAAAAGACCCTCCTCCAGAAAAAAGATAAAATTCTGATAATTGGTTGCGCCAAGGTCTTTTCATCTTTAAACAAAGCCACCCCACCCTCTTCCCGCACCTGTAATATAAAAAAAAAATTTTTTTTTTTTTAAATAAAAAAAAACTTAAATTCTTTCTTTCTCTTCCCCACAACCAGGTTCAGTGTGTGAATTGGCACCCTGCAGAATCGCAGACCCTCCTGACTGGTGGTTTTGACAAGTAAGTCTTCATGCCTCAATTAGTTTGTCTTTCACAGAAGCTAATGACTTCTAACTTTGCTTCATCTGTAAACCTGTGCTAGTGTTTTTTACTCTACATACATATACAAGAAAGAAAGAAAGAAAAAAAAAAAAAGCATTTATTTTATGTAAAAATTTTCTTTTTTTTTCAACATAATCCCCCCTTGTCAATGAACTTAATTCAGTGTTGGGTTTATTTAATCTCATAAATTAGGTACATCAGTAAATCTGCTAGATAATGATAAAACAAAGTATTTATTTTATTCAGAAAACATTTATTGATACACTTTTTCCTTGTCAATGCACTTATCCTAAGGCTTTTTTTTTCATTAGTTGTTTAGTTTAACTAAGGAGAGAGTTCGTACAGATCCTTAAAACCTTTAAAAGCCCTTGAAAAACAACAATAGCCCAAAAGCTCCTTGAAAAGTCCCGGAACTTTCTAAACTGAGCTGCCTACACATCCTTTTTTCTCAATTCATGAAAGTCAAAATGCCAGGTCCCGGAAATCTGGCTTTTATACAAGCTAAAATTGTCCTTTAAGAAAAATGTTTTTTTAGTCATTGGGAATATTTGGAAATTATTGCAAACGGTGGTTCCTTTCCATGATTAAAATGAGTTCATGACCTCTTAGTTACTTCTATATTTTCTCATTTAGATGACAAGAAACAAAGAATATGAAGGCGTGTCTTTTCCTAGCTGCTACCCTCACCAAACAAGAAAAGAGGAAAAGCAAAGATAAAAGGCGTCAGACACATAAACATCTGTCAAAGATAAATTTAATTTACTGAGTACATTCATTTAATTTGTAGCTGAAAGGAAAATAAATTATTTTACAGTAATACATTTTAGTAGGATCTTGAAAAATTTATCAGTGTTTTTTAAAACTTGAATAATTGAAGAAATTTTCTTCGCGTGTCAATTTCAAAAGTAAAAAGTCTTTCTGATCTCCTGTCAGCTGTGGTTGAGTTTATGGTAAAGAAAAAATAGATACCTTATGCATCCTGTGTCAATGTCTATCTGTGTAAACTATGTTTCTCTAAATTGTTGCCAAAATTAACAAGTTTAAGAATCAAATTTGACTCTTAAGAAAATTTAGGTAGTAAGGATGATAGAAAACATGCCTTTGATGTCTTTGTCGTTGTCTTAGGATAGAAAATACATCTTTGAGAAAATAAGAAGAATGTTATTTTTAAAATTTTCAGCTAATAATGACTTGTATCTCTAGCTTTTGTTGCAAGTGTGAAAAAATGATGAAATATATTAAAACTTATTTGGCTTTTATTGCTTGGCTTTTTTCTTAAAAGTTCTATCTGACAAGCCTGACCCTTTTATTTTTGTATTTCTGCCATAGATAGCTAGAAACTGTACAAATTCTTAGACATTTGGCCAGATGTCATCAATGTGGATTTCTGGCAATTAAGGCTATGCAAAATTTCTGGCAGATAGTGCTATGCAAAATTTATCCCAAAAAGGAAATGTGTCAAGAAAAGATCTGTTTGCATGCAGAATTGCAACAATGTTCATCATCATCATTGAGAAATTTCTGGCAAAGTCTCCTCTTAGATACCCTCTTGTAATGTCACTTACATGGATAAACCCTGGATCTATTTGTGAAAAAAAAATTGCCACAATCTAAAAAGATGTCTTTCCTATATAATGGATAGAAATCAAGTCAGCAAGTCTGATTGTGATATCATCAATCATTACAAAGAGTTTGAGGAGGAGGCTGCTAGAAATGCTGCTTTCAAGAATTTCAGCAAGCATGAAGAATGTCTGGACACTTTGTTTTTATTCTTCTTTGTCTAGTAACAAGTAATATCAAAAATTGTGCAAAGTTTTTTGCAGATTGCTCATGGACAAGACTTAGTAGAGAGAAGTTTCTCAGTCAATTAGGAAATTTCCACTGACAATATGAAATGGCAAACTCTGGTCACATTATCACAGGCTATTTGGCCACAGCTGGAGGTACTGGGAATGTTTCCATAACTAAGGCTCTTCTCTGTAGTGCTTCCAATGACAGAACAGCATACAACCAATACCTTGAGGCTGAAAAGAAAAAAAGGCATGAAGAAGCAGGTGGACAAAATGCCTATCAAAATTGAAGAACTGAAGACCAAAAAACATAAGCTTGAAAAGTGGCACCCAAAAATTTGCTCAAGTCAGCTGACAGCTATGCAGAGAAAGCTAAGCAGACTCAGAAATTCATACTTATCACAAAGTCTAATGCCATACAAATATCTGCAAAGAACAAATCCATTGAGATATCCAAATTGGAAGAGTAGCTGAATGCTTAACAAGATGAACTGAGAAAATGCTAACATTATTGTGCTCTGTGGCATGTTCAAAAGCCATGAGTAGTAGGGATAAAATATGTAGCCTTTTTGTGAATATTTCTATTTGTAGTTTTGTTCATTAAAAGCATTATACTTCACAGGTAAATATGTAGCAGACAAGAATTTTTGTGGCATTCACAAACTGGGAGAAGTCTCGTCAGCTGAAATAGGTGCAGTAAGAATTAGTCAGCATTTTCAAATTTAGTAGAACTGTGTAGAATGCTACATAAAATGTGTAACATGACCAGGTCTTCATTCGTTTGTGTTTTAGCCATCAACACTTGGATTTCTTCACTGCCCTCAACTGGTCCATGTGATATGAATTTTTTGGAACCAACTCTAGCTTTTTTTGAACATCTAATTTGTCATACTATTAAAAGATAAATCACAAAGTTTGTGTTTTTGAAATTGATGAACATTCACTGTGTGTGTGTGTGTGTGTGTGTGTGTACACCCGTTTCAGTCCTGGAAACCTCCTTGAAAAGTCCTGGAATTTTATTTTTTCTTTTACACTGATCTGTGGGAACCCTGTAAGGAGTGCTATGAAAATGTATACTTAACACTTCTGCTACTGGTGACATACATATTCATGAAACTAACATTGCCTGCTATTGACATATGTTTCAAAGAAATGGTTAGCTGCACAAAACTGACACTGCCTGCTGTCATATATATATATATATATTATGAAATGGACAAAGTCCGATAATTATTAAGACATTTTTATGTTTATACATTCTTTTTATAGATACAAATATTTAAGTAAATGCTCTGTTTTTATAATAAACAATATTAATAACATTTACCAGCCTGAATGTCCGAGAAATTCTCATAGAAAATATTCATTCTCCAACAGGAATCGAATTTGTATCCTATATGGAACCGTCATTTAGCCTGGCATGCTCTTAACTGATCGAGCCATGGAGGATCGTTCATTTTGCAAGGTTTAAACTTCAGTCTTCCATGAATTTCTCATGTACATTCATATCTGCTCAATAATAAAAAAATAAAAAAATGTATAAACATAAAAATGTCTTTATATATATATATATATATATATAATTTTATGGTATGCTATATTTATTGGTTAAAGTGCTCAATATCAGGGATAGAGCATATGTAAATATGAAAGTAGACAATTGTCAGGTCATGTCCTGACAGTTGTGTTTAAGCTGGAAGCAGACTCACTGCTGAGTGTTGACCTCGCATACATACATACATACATATATATATATATATATATATATATATATATATATATATATATATGTGTGTGTGTGTGACTGTGTATTTTGGAGGCTATAGCCTTTACAAAACAGCTTATGGCCATAAAGAGTTGAAACAGTGGTTCTATATGATCACCAAAGTTGAGCAATAGTGGGACTGGTCACTATCTAGATGGATAACCACTTAAATGTGCAAGTGGTGTAATGGGTAATGACTCAGAATTGTTAATTGGAGAGCTGAGTTCCAATTCCAATCAAGTTCGTTATATTCACTTATGCACTAATACCTTTGAAAAGATATGCATCCACCTCATCTCCCCCCAGCTATGGGTCAGTTAGTAAAATTTGTACTACTAAAACCATTATTATCAAAAAAAAAAATATTTCCTGGTTTTAAATAAACTGAGTTGATAAAAAATGAATCAATAACAATAAAACTTTAAGTTGGGAAGATAAGGAGAAGCATAAATTGTTTGGATTACAACTGATGCTCCTTGTTTTTTTTATTCATGAGGCATGAGTCCATATTTACCTATATTCTCATTGTCTGGCACAAATCTATATATATATAAATATAAATGACAATAGGAAAACTGTAATAGTTGCCGACACGTTTCATCCAATGTGGATTTTCTCAAGGCAAAAAAAAAAAAAAAAAGGAAATCCTAGAGTGTGTCGCCATTGAATATTACCCAAATATTAATCTACGCCCAGGCTTTTTTCTTATTTCACATTTCTTGACAGAATTACTACCCTCCCAAACAAACGTACACAACTGTATCATGAAATCAAAAGAAAATGATTGAATCCACCAACACAGCAATAATAACAATATCTCCACACATGACAGTAATTGATGTAATTTTCAGTTAACAGTATGAAAATAGCTTTCTCTAAATTCTTCCAGTTGCTAAGGACATTTTGTTTTTGTTATTATTATTAGTTACTTTGTTTAGATAAATTCATTTCGGTTTTTTGCCTTGAGAAAGTCTACATTGGACGAAACACATCGACAACTATTAGTTTTCCTATTGTCATTTATATTTAGAAATATTGTCTTTTTCTACAGGTTAACTCTGAGAAATTTTCAAAAATCTATATCTAATCATCCATTATGCAAATTACATTTCTATTTGATTATACCTTTGATAAATGATTGTGTTTGTCATACTAAATGCTCTGATATTTTCTTTTAGCACAGTACGATTATTTGATTGCCGTGATGCAAGCTACAATCACAAAACCTGGAACTTTGGGGGTGAAATTGAAGCAACTGTTTGGAACCATTTTAATCCTTTTTATTTTTATGTAAGTAAATGTTTTCAGGTTTGTTTTACTTTTACTAAAGATCTATTCTGGATTACATTTTCAGTATATTATATGAACTATTTCATGTAGATTTCTTATTTATTTGATATATTATTGAGACTAGATTTTTTTTTTTTTTTTATCATTTTACTACAAGCAAGGCAATAAAGCCACTAAGATGGAAGAAGTTACTGAGTGAGAGAGAATATGAGAAAAAGAAAAACATTAATGAGAGAGAAAAAAATAAAAGAACAAGAATTGTATACTCTATAGCAGAAGTCAACAACCCCCAACCTCCAGGCCATATCCTGCCCTTAAAGCATTTTTGTCTGACCTGCCAATTTAACACATGGGCACTAATTTTTGGAGCAAGTGGTAAAAAATCATCAGTTGGAGTTAATCAACCTAGAATGCAATGAAGTTTTTAAATCAAAATTTCATTCCGGATCCATTGCTGACGTCTACAAGAAATATGTTTTGCCAAGTGGAAAATATAAAAATTTAATAAATAATGCTATCCTTATTTAGAAGTACATATGCTTATGAACAACTTTTTATGAAAATGAAATAAACTAAAAGTCATTTAAGAACAAGATTGGGTGATAACCACCTGGATGATGTTTTGTTCCTGTCGCTGACCAATATTTCACCCGAGGTGGAGAAGATATCAAACAATAAGTAAAAACAAGTGTCTTATTAAATAATTTGCCACTTCTAACTGTATTTTGTTTGCAGTAAGGAATTTACATGTTTTTTTGTTGATTGCAGTAAATAAGTAACTTTGTTTAACCAATATAACAGTAACTTCATTGTTTTTTCTTTAAACGTCCAGATCAAGGCAGCCTTCTGGACTGAGCGATCAAAGGTTGAAACAATTTATTATAATATATTTGATACTATGGCCCTCCTCCGAGACACTGCATAGCTGTCTGGCCCACTCTTTCAAAAAGGTTGCCAACTCCTGCTCTATAGCAATTATGAAGAAACTTTTTTTTATATATATAATCATTTGACCCCAAGCAAGGCATTAAAGCCACTAAGATGCAAGGGGTTATGAGTGTGAGAGAATATGAGAGAAAAAAAAACATTAAGGAGAGAGAACAATAAAAAAGAACAAGAATTAAGAAGACGGAAGATAATGATTGACATTGCATTTAAACTTTTGAAGATCAAAATTAACTGGAAAGCAAGAAGTCGAAAGAGAGAGTTCCACAAGTGAGAAGTGGGAGAAAAGAAACTATTAGCATAGAACTTAGCTCTTTCAACTGTAAAATGATGAGACCTTGATGGAAGCAACTTTACAGCTGTGGGAAAGTGACTGAAGCCAAGATGCCAGCTCAGGACCAATAATATTACAGATTCTTTTTTATATTTCGTCAAGAATCTCTAAATACATAGAAACACCAGACCAGATGTTGCAGCAGTATTCAGTGCATGAATGAATGGGAGAGTTCTAAATATGTAATATAGATTCTGGCAATAGAAATTGTCTAGCAACAGAGCATTTACTTAAATATTTGTCTCTATAAAAATAACATATAAACAGAAAATATACACTAATAATTGTCAGACTTGGTCCATTTCATTATATATATATATATATTCTATGGTTGCATAAAGTTCATCAACACAAAAGAAAATATCAGTAGATTGTGTTTGAATTACAACTGATGCTACTTGTTTTTACTTTGGAAAGGCATGGATCTAGTTTCCCTATATTCCTTCTCATTATCAGGTATGTTAACAAAAGTTTGTCACTGGTACATTTGACAGAAAAATGTAGGTGAACATGCTCCTTGGCTAACCCACTTTCTTATTGATTCATGCTTTTCCCAAGACTATTAGTGTGAATGCTGGTTCCATTCTACATGTTATTAACCACTACACTATTTGCCTTTCCTGTATCTTTTCATCTATGCAATTTTTTTATTTATTAGGCAAGCACCAACACTGGTCATGTTTACTATACTGATGTTCGACAAGCCAAACCTGTTTATTCCCTGTCTGCTCACAATACTTCTGCTTCCTGTAAGTCCAAGATTTTGTTTAACCATTCCACAAGTTGATTTCTATTTAGCATAGCTTGAAGAGAAAAAACACTTTCTCTTCCCAAATGAGTAAAAAGAATTTTTTTTTTTTTTTAGGTGGGTGGCAAACATTCACTTTTTGGCTAAATTTTGAAAATGGCTAAATGTATAGCTGAAAGTGCTCAGACAAAAACAACAATTGGACAGTTTTTATATAATTTATCTACTAAAAAGAAAAATTATAAGATCACATGAGAAATTATATAAAAGCACCTTGTCTGTCATATTTAATGAAACTTGCATGAAAGAAGGATTGCTGCCTAAACACATACACACACACACACACACACACACACACATATATATATATATATATATATATATATATATATATATATATATATATATATTAGAACTCCCCAAATCCGAACCTAGATTTCCTCAAATTTGGACTCCTCTTCAAATACAAACTTTTGTATTGACATAAATATGCAGCCTTTTCTTCCACGATTCTGAATAGTATCCTCAATACAAAACACCGCGGATGCTCGGTTTAAAGGAGTTGTTCTTGTTTTTATCTTCCTTTACAGATTGTGATTATTTTTTAATAAGATATTTCATAAATTTTTAAACATTTCATAAAGTGTGTTAGTTTTTCACAAATTAGAATATTTGTTTAGCACAAACTTTTTCATTAGTATGGGTTGCCAATTATTTTTCATTAGTATGGGTTTAAGCTACACCTTGAATAAAAACAAATCAACGTTACAAACTACATCTTGTATCATAAACTCTAAAACTTAATAAAAATTTTAAGCTTGCCACAGCAGCATTTTCTTCTTCAAATCCAAACAGTATCCTCAATACTGAACATCTGAGATGTTCAGTTTAGAGGAGTTGTACTTTGAATTTTCAGGCGACACTGCTCTGCTGATAAGGATTTATCTTTAAATTGTTGATACAGTCCTTGCTCCACAAAGATGGTCAAGGAAGATAAATCCACATGGAAGTCCAACTACTTCCTTAAAATCATTCAACTTCTCAATGAATATCCCAAGTGTTTCATTGTCAATGCTGACAATGTTGGCTCCAAACAAATGCAGATGATCCGAATGTCTCTCCGAGGCATGGCTGTGATCCTTATGGGTAAAAATAAGGGTGAGGTACAAGTCATGCAACATAGGAGTAATTATTATTAAAAGTACAATTAGAGATGAAAATTTTATTTAAGTTATTTTTTTTTATATGTGCTGTTCAATGTGTCTGTCTTTTCAAAACCCATTTCATTTCAGTGTATGTATGATCTATTAGCACATCAGGGGAGTTTCTTGTCATCTTCATTTATATTTAATACTTTAAGTTCCTCAATATTTCTTGGGCGTATCTGATAAATAACTGATTTCAAATGGCCCCACAGATAAAAAAAAGTGACAGGTTTAATGATCTTGATGGCCACTCAACAAGAACTATCAAAACAACTTACATTTAAAACATGATTAATTAATTAACCCCAAGGGTGTGCGACTTTTGCCTCACTGTGTATATAAAAGTAGTAATATGTGCATGTGTGTACATTATATATTTACATATATAATTTGAAAAAAAACTTCCTGCTGAAACATCACTTTAATAAAATATTCTCGGGAGTGTTGCTTTCTCATTCTCCAAATTCAAAATGTCCAGAAAAACATGAAGAAAATATGAAAATTATTTTTTGTTTGAGGTTTTTGAACTGCAATATTTTGTTTCAGGCCTGGCCTTGTGTCCCACAATACCAGAACTCCTCTTAACTGCTTCCGAAGATAAAACAGTCAAAATCTGGAATGTCAAAGACAACCAACCAAAACTTGTGGTTACTAAAGACATGGGACTGGTGAGATTTTTTTTGTTTTTATTATTATCTGCTACAGAAACCTATTTTGTGTCCTACAATAGTTTTTAAACCTCTTGAACCCGGCATTAACATGTCATACTGAGCTCATGTAATATTAGGGGTACAGGAAGAAGAACAGTAGTTATAAATTTTTGAAGGGCTTCTTGGTTTGGTCAAGAGAGATAATGTCAACCACAATTTCAATCTCAAGAATCCCATCCTTATTAAATCAATAAAAAAAAACTCAAAATTTTTCTCCCTACACATTTTCAAAATAGTCAAATCATTCATCAAAGGAAAAAGGGTTTTTTGTCAGTTTGGTGAGCATAAGGAGATGTAATCTCAATCACTTGGCCATTCTTGGAACTGGAATCATAGTATATAGCAACCCATTGGCCTCGTCTTTCATATTTGAAGATCACTTGATATGGTTCTTCATCACAACTACCAGAGTTAGTCACTGGATCTTCAAGTTCCTGTGATGTAATTTGAATGGCAGGGAGTTCATCAGCTACAAAAAGCATCATGGGAAGGATCTAAAAAGGCTCTTAAGTCCTCTTCTCCTTTTAATGGTTAAAGTTTTCTTGACTGTGTTAAGTGTTTGTTGAATTTGCTTCATCAATCTTGACAGTTCCATCCTTTTATTAGGATAATTTGCAGAACCTGCAAGTAAAAATGTACAATTTTTGAATTGCAAAAGAAATAGGGGGGAGGCACCTTAACAATTTTGTGAAAAGATTTTTTTTTGTTGTTGTTAAATCGTCCTCTAACCCTGTGAGCTCTTTGCCTACCTAAGTGCTTCTTCTCTCATGGTCCTTAAAATCATAAAAGTTACAGAAGTTAGACTATAAAATAGAAGAGACCTCAACAGAACTGTACTCCAGTTACTGGTTATTACTGCCATACCATAACTACAACCCCCACCTGATTTACACATTCTTTTCATCACATAGTGTTTTTAACTGCTTAAGCAACCATTTTGTACATTTCTAGGACTTTGGGGTCTTCTTTGGCCTGCTGCTTTTTTCACTTACAAGAAAACAATCTCTCAGGATGTTTAACTGATCATCTACTGTACAGAAGATTTTTAAATATTCATCAAATAAATTTAAAAACCTAAAGTAATCTCCAGTTCAGACTTTCACTTTATAAAGAAAAAATCTGAACTTATAAAGTTTAAGACATTTGTTTTCTTTGTAAAATAGAAATTTTTTTTATTTCTTTTTCTGATATCACGTCTGAATTTTTTTATTTTTTTTTTTAGTGTTTTCCATCATTTCATTTTCACAACAATCGAAAATTTACGTAAAAATTAATGAACTGAAAATTTTAATGTCGCATTCTTTTTTCAAATGGCAACATTTGCTCATGAGGTGTTAAAATGTACTGTTAATTAAAATTTAAAAATATGCTTACAAGTAGAAAATTACCATAAAATAAAACCTTTACTAATTATCAAAAATGAAATTTGGTTGAAAAGTAAAAAAAAATAAGAAAAAAAATGTTTAATTTTAGAAATTATATATGTAATTTTACAGACCCACAATAGTAGTTCAACCAAAAAATATACTTTTTTAAATAGTTTTTATAAAATTTATCGAGTCTAATTACAAATAACTTAAATAAATGTTTAATTTAATCCATGAAATTAGGAGCTAATCCCCAAAATTAGTAAATATAAAATTTTAATAGACGTTTTTAAAATTACAATATTTTGCGTATGCAAATGCAAGATTTATAAAAATAAATTGGATATATGCATATATACATTTTAAAGTTACAATGCTTTTTCATTTTTTAAGTACACAAATTTTCCTACATTTTTTTTTCCCATTGAAAAATATGAGATTTATATGTACATTTAAAATTACATCATTTTACATAGACAGTTTTTTCTTTTGTTTGTTTTTCCTATGGACAAATAAGAGTTTAAAATTTAATTAAAATATGTATTTGTAGTTTATTTTTTTAATGCCTATTTACTCACACAATAAGTAATTTACTTTATACAACTTTTGAATAAACATAAAAAAAACCCCCTAAAACTCACCTAGAAACTGAAATGTCCATTGATGAAAGTTGGTCAGGGTAGCTGGCAAATTCAAATTTCAAAAACACCTTTTATATTTGCTCATGCTTTACAGTGATATGGAACCAACTGATTATTAAAGATGAAACATTGCTCTATAAGAAGGTATAATTTTCATCTTTTTAGCTGGAATTTCTCTGGTATTTCATCCATTGAAGTTTTCAACTTAGAAATTTTTTGTGAAAAATAACCTCAAATTTTGTTTTAAACCCACCAAATTGATGAGTGTCCTCTTTTCTTTACAATGGGACTATTTTGATATGAGTAGGAACACACATCTCTGAGCACAACAAATTTTAAAACCTAAACATAAAATTCTCTGATTTTAAAATGCGGAAAGAAGCAACGGTTACTGAAACGTGACCTCATTTAAAAGAGCTGGAATAAAAACTAATTATCACAACAGAAAGAGTTGTATCTTTATGAAGAGAAAACATTAAATTTTCTTTATATGCTAATTTTATCAAAATAACTTTTAAAATACTTGATATATTGCCAGTTGAACTTAAAGGAAATTTCACTATTTTGACCCATTTTTGTTCTTTAATTAGGCCAGTTTGGGATACCTATTCAAAGTAAAATTATACTGAAAAATTTAGCTATATTATGCTGTAATATGTTATAATGTAGTTTTAGTGTGATCTTCAATAAACAATGCAAATTTAAAACATTTTGTCATATTTGTATCTAAAAGTATTTTGGTATTATATGCACTTATCTATTTTTTTGTTTTTATTAATTCTGATCTAACAAATTTTATTCATTGAGTAGCCATTTTTTTATAATCTTTTACTTTATTTTTTTTTTCTTTTACAGTCTTTACTTATTGAATACAATAAAAAAAATGACATATTTTGCTTTTGGTGATTCATAATTAAAATTCTGGTTTGAATATATTTTCCATTCAGTGTATCTAATACAAATATATCAACTTTAATTTGGATTTATTATTAAAATAATAAAATTTTGAAGTTTGTAAGCAAAAACCTGCGGAAATTAGATATTTCTACACATTTTTCAGAAGAGTATTCATACCTTTCCACAAGGATATTAGCATGTAAGTGAATGTAATGGATTCGACTGGAATTTGAACTCAGCTCTCCAATTCCTTAATCTGAGCCATTATCCATTACTCCACCATGCTTCCTCCTAGGATAGTAGCTTGGATTGAGGAATCAAAGAGCCAAGTTTGAATTTCAGTCGAATTCATTACATTCACTTACATGCTAATATCCTTGGGAAAGGTATGAATCCTCCTCTTCTCACCCCCAGATATGGGTAAATAGCAGGACAGACTGGGTTCTCTAGCCTTGGATGTCAACTGGTTTACTGAAGAAAGAAATGGTGACATACTGTAGGGAAAAAAATCTGCCTCGTCAGTCATGTATCAAAAGATGCATGATCACCTAAGTATGTATCATACATGGCACGGAACTGAATCATAATACCTCATCTCAGAGGTATAGACAGATGTTGCTAGTTTTATAAATGATTTTGAGTTTAACCGTAAAACTTTTTTTTTTTTTTTTTTTTTGGTTGACTCTTTCAATCCTAATCCAATAAAAATATCTCTTGAAAGTAAATAATAATAATAATAATCATCCTCATCCGTCCTATACCCAAATGTGGTCATGGGGCTGCTTGAAACCTGATCCACTCCCTCTATATTTCAGTTGTGTGCCAATGTCTAAGTCTCAATGATCTTACAGCCCATTTAGTGATGTCCACATAATTTCCTCTTTTTTGCCTCAGGTAGTAATTTGTAGGATAGAAGTAGAAAGATTGTTGCTTGACACCAGATAAAATGTCTTCCAACAAACATGTCTATTGTCTGATGGTGTCTTGCACAGAAGATGCCTACGATGATTCTCTAGCATTTCATCTTTTAATGCTTGAATTCTTTGCTGTGATTCTGTTGTTCAGAAATCTGGAAAACAACAATTAAACATTCAGTATTAAAAAAAAAAAATGCTAACAACCCAACATCAATAAAATTATATCAAATTTAAGATCAAAGTACTGAATATCCTCTTACCGAGGACAATAAGAGGATAAACTACATCTGACGGCAAGGCCTATGATCAGGAGGTTTTGAGGAGTGTGGAACAACCTATTAATTGCTGGTGTTCCCAGGTCCACCCCGACTTGGGGTAGTAGTACCTGCTAGGGTCCCAGCTATAGGCAAATAGTTAATGCCTAAAATGGGATCAAAACACTATAAAATTGTAAAAATAGGTTTTAATACCAGCAATACTTTTTTAAGGAAAAAAAAATATTAACAGTTATACATTTTTTTGAAAAAAATATTACCAACATTAAAAATCTTGTTGGTATTAAATAACTCATTGAGGTGTTGATATGCCGTAAAACAAACCAGACCAAACCAAACTAAGTATATTAAAAAATTAAAAATGTGATACTTGAAAATGATGAAACTGATGATCTAGCACAAAAAGGCGCAAGTTTTTGAAAATGTCTAACATGAAAAGTATGCAATTCATATTCAAATATGTACCTGAAATAAAAATTCATATTCAAACATGTACCTGAAATGTAAAAAAAAAAAAAAAAAAAAAAATATTCGGACTCTTGTCCTCATCTTTGTCGCCATATCACAGCATTTCAGCCGTTGTACGCTTCGGCCTTCTTCAGGTGGTTGGAATGTTGAACTGAACACTTTGTTTTGCTCACTGGGGTAGACTGTTCTAGTTCTATGTGCCATGTTTGATGGATGTCAGTTATCAGTTATCTCCTGTTAATTTCCCTCTGAAAGTTCTCCACTGCCTTAACTGGGTATTGGACTCACACTCTTCGGGTCCTGTCACTGGATCTAACCAACGCCTTTATCCACTGTGCCATGTGCAAGAAGGCCAGAGCGTACAACGGCTGAAACGTTGTGATAAATATGGCGACAAAGATGAGGACAATAGTCTGAATAATGTAAATAATATACATGATACCTCATCTCAGAAATATAGACAAAAAAAATAAGTTTAGAATTATCCTTAACTTTGCATTAGAGACTTTGGATAGTCCCCTGGCACTTGCCTCCTACAACAACTGGGCTACAATTGTGCCACTCCACATGCTACACACTCTCATTGAGTCAGGAGATATAGTGGGAGGAAGCAAAAGAAAATAGTTGCCAACTAGGAATTACAATTACTTTCAAAATTGACTCATGCAAGGTTAACAAAGGAATTTCATTAGTCTTCAACCAGAATTGTATTAAAAAAAAAAAAGAATGCTGCCCAAACAAAAATCCCCCACACACACACACGTCTTTTTTGGGAGAGACACACACACACGCACACACACGTGTGTGTCTCCCCAAAAGACCCTTTAGTTTTTATAAATAATCCCTGATGTTTGTTACATCATAATACAATTGGGAGATTTTTTTCATTCATCCTTAAAATGTTTACCTTAGATCTTGTGTTTCTTGAAGGTCTTATAAACTTCTTAAAATAGAAACACACGGTGTCACAAAAATTTGAAATCATTTTAAAAGCAATTATCTTGAAAGCTACTAAATCTAGTTCAATGAAATTATAAAGTCTAGGTATTGAACATCATAAGTTTATTATGGGAGCGATTTTCATAAGTGTTCAATATGTGTACCGCCTGTGACATGGCAAACGTCAATTAGGTAGTTAAGCTCTTGCCAAACACTAGCATGTCTCCGGTAAGCATTATCCAGTGCAGAAGTGATTCTCTGCTTGAGTTCATCAATACCAGCAGGAAGAGCAGGGGACATAGACCAGTCTCTTCACATATCTCCATAAAAAGATATCTCATGGGGACAGGTCCAGTGACCGCAACGGCCATTTCATCAGAAAACTGTCATCATCATCTCCACCATGCCTGACACATCTCTCTGGCAGATTCTCATTGAGATAACAAAAATAAAACATTAAATATAAAATCTTGATCTGTTTCTATACATTCTGTGAAAATTTGAAGTTATTTCAACAAGAATTGCCAAAATTATTGGCCTGCAAAATGATGTCAAATTTTTTGGGGACACCCTGTATATTGGCTGTAAAGAGCATTATTTATTGAAGGCGTCTCATTCATCCTAAAACATTGTGCATAAGTGATCAAAGAGGTTAATAAAGCAGATCACCTCTACTATCCATTTTGGTTTTATGAACAGCATTTTCTGAATTTGTTCCTTTTGTTTTTCAGGGTGGAATAATGTGTGTTCTTCCATGTCCAGATTCTCCTTTTGTCTTTGCTATTGGAGGTGAAAAGAACATGAAAGTTTTGGATATTCGCCAATCTTCTGAAGGTAAGTGTTTACGATTGCTTCTGATAATATTGGTGGGTTCAGAAAAATGTGTCTGGGAATGCTTCAAAATTCTGCTCTTTTAAGAAAGACTTAATCTTAGGCTAACTTATCCAATTTTACTACTTTTGATACTTATATAATAACTATATATATGTGTTTGACACACACTCACTCTACATGTTTCTGACCATAGCTCAATTAGATCTCATTTAAATATTCATGGAGACTTACTGGACACTATTCGTAACATACTTGTTGACAACACTAATATAATAGCATCAGCTACATGCAAAAAAAAAAAAAGGCTAAAAATAATGGAAGCCTTATTAATAAAAACAAACAAACCAACACTTAATAATATTAACTTTGAACATGGACATAATATCTTTACTGTTTTGAAAAAATGAAAACATTTTATAAAACATACATACAACAAACTATTTGTTCTTTAACAGTTAAAATATTTAATCCATGAAAATGGCTAAATGTATAGCTGAAAGCGCTTGGATAAAAAGAACATTCAGACAGTTTTTATATAATTTATCATCTGAAAAGAAAAAATTATTAGATCGCATGTATAAAAAAACTAAATAAAAGCACCTTGTCGTTTTCAATGAAATGTGCATGAAAAGGATTGCTGCCTAAATACACAAATATATGGTTAACTATCTTCTTTTTTCTTTTTTTTTCTTTTTTTTAAATCACTAAAAATCTCTGATTTTAATCATCTGTCAGCACAATGTAATTCTCTTCATTAAAAATTCTTTCAAAAATAGAATATACTTTCTGAAATCTTATTCGTGGAATATTATTTGCTGTTTTAAAGTTTATTTTGATTTGAAACTAATGTTACATACTTTTAGTTTAAAATATCACAGAAATGCCTTTTTTAATGCAAACTTAGGTGTTGACAACTTGAAATTTAACTAATTTTTCCCATGGAGGAATATATCTGTAAAAATTATTTGAGTATATCATCTGCATCTTTTTATTTAATTTTTTAACTACCCAATCTTAAAAATTTAGGAAAATATTTTCTCTAATGTTTTATTGAATTTTAGATATTTCGGCTTTAAATTTACTATAGTTATTGCTCTTATTTTTTAATAATGTCATGTACGGACTTTCAAGAGAAGAAACTGATGATTTCCAAGGTGATCTGCATATAATTAATATAAACTTCTAAGCTATAGAAAAATGAATTTCTCAATTTCATAAAATTAAAAAGTGGGGAGTAACATATAAAAAAAAAAATATATTTTTATTAAAATAATTCATTTATTAATAAGTCCTGAAAGTTTCATTAAAATCCAACAATTATTTAATTTTTTCAATAATTTCCAAATCTATATTTTTCACCACATAAAAGACACTAAAATTTCCTATACTAATTTATGGTCCTTTGCTGACACGAGAAAAACAAATTTTTATGTTCTAAAGAGTATGAAAAAATATACTTTAATAATCAAAAGATCCTTTGGTCTTCCATTTTGATAATAACAAAGATTTTGATGATAAAACTTTGTTTTAAGTTTGTGACATTTTTTTCATTATGCTATCTTAAATAAGTACATTTGTGAATATTCAGGCTGGTTAGGCAAAATAAAAAAAATATACAGTTTAATAAATGCATTCCTTTACAAATGGCTTTGTTTACTTTAGGATACGAAACTGAGCAGATATGTCTATTTCAAGAGTCAGAGAAAGGCATGTGTTTAAAGGCATTATTCAGTATATATATATATATATGTGTGTATTCAGCTTTTTTAATTTCCTTACAGTTTTTCTATTTTGTAGTGGCTAACAGTGTAGAAACTGTTCATAGTGAGTATCGGTCCATTCATTAGCCATGTTCAATGTGTTCGTTGTTATATTTTCTTGTTTGTTCTTCTAAGTTGCATTGGATGAAAGTAGAAGTAATTCTCAGCAGTGCTAGATTAGATGTAGTAGAAATTCCATGTAAGGAGTGTCATTAGAGGACCATCAACATATTTTTGCCCTTCACAAAAATATATGCCCTTTTTTACTTTTTTCTTTTTTTTTTACTTTTTCACTTTTTTCTTTTTTTTCTTTTTTTTCTTTTTTTTTTACTTTTTTCTTTTTTTTTTTTCACTTTTTTTTTTTTTTTTTCACTTTTTTTTTTTTTTCACTTTTTTCTTTTTTTTTCACTTTTTTCTTTTTTTTTCACTTTTTTCTTTTTTTTTCACTTTTTTCTTTTTTTTTCACTTTTTTCTTTTTTTTTCACTTTTTTCTTTTTTTTTTTTTTACTTTTTCTTTTTCTTTTTTCTTTTTTACTTTTTCTTTTTTTCTTACTTTTTCCTTTTTTTTACTTTTTTTTTTTTTTTTTTTTTTTTTTTTTACTTTTAAGAAAAAATATTTTAACAGCGAAATATACTTTCACATTAATTCATTAAATGTCCTGTAGAAGATCTATATTGTTTTTTTATTTTTCTGCCCCAGTGAGAGAATATTTCAACACCGGAGAAAGCTCAGGAATTTGTCTTGATGGCACAAAGATTGATGAGAAAGAAGATGAAGAAGATATGCTTGTGAAAAGAACGAGTAACTTAAAAATCCGAAAACCAAGGGTGAAATCAAAATTAGACACAAAACAAAAGAAAATAAAAAAGAAGAAAAAACCAAATTCAGAATAATGATTTTATTACAGAAATAAAAAAAAATATACAGATAATTTCTTTGTTGTTTGTTTGTTTTTTTGTTTTTTTTGTTTTGTTTTTTTTCTGATTTTGTTGTAGAAATTGTAGTGGGTTCTCAAGCCTTCCAAAATACCATCACCTTGTATGCCCCATACCACTGATTATCAAGAAAACAAAAAAATCAATCCTTTTTTTGTAACAATACACTACTACACCTGCCCAAGCTTTCTACTGATCAGCCAATGATTTATTCCATGTTGCATTTCTGTTATAGTGGAACACACTTATTCTATAGTTAATAGACTCTCCCACCTATAAAAAGTAGGAGTAGTAAGAGTAACGAGGGAGGGAGTGGGTCAGTCAGTCAATGCCAGGCAACTGTTAGTTGGATACTAAAGTATCAGCAACCGCAACTAGATTACTCTGTGTCATTACCTATTATATCAAGTTCCTAACGTTTTGTACGTCGAACCTACTTTAGGACCGACTTAGTACAAATACAAGACTCCACTGTGAAACCACTCCATAACGATTTCAATTCTTAATCTTGTTGTGCACTGAAAGCTGAGAAAGAGCCCATTGCATGCTAACAAGGTAACAAGATTAAAAACAAATTCTATGTCAAGAAATAACATGAACCCTGTTTCCCATGTAGATGTTTTATTCAGGGCTTCACCTGCTCATCTGGCTGAAAATTAGCCTTCAAAATGAACTACCTACTGGTTATTGAATGGGAACATCAAGACAAAGCCACATCTTCTTCTACCTGGGTGTCCATAGTATCAAATTCTTAATGAAATAAAGTTTGTAAAATAAATTCACTAATCTATTATATTGTGTATAGTCTCTAATGTCATATCTGCTGGCATAGGCTTATATCCACTTTTCACTGTGACCACTGCCCCTAGGGGTCGTCTGTGTACTTTTGAATACTAATCAAGTGTTGGTGTCTCCTCCAACTTCAAGGGACCGGGATTCTCTCCTTACTAATTAAGTATCTTCAACTTTAGGAATGAGTCCATCGTCTTAGCTCACCAACAGACGAAAGTAGAATATTCCTATTTGTATTTTATTCAGAATTATGGTGATTTGTGTTTTGCAATCATCTCTTTATGTATTGTTTGTGTACTTGTTTTCATTTCTACGGTGTTGAAATGGAAAACTTTGTCAGTTTTTAATCTTTTCATTTGTACCCTCTTTCTTCTTTAAGTAATGACCTGCGTTCATTTGGGACTGGCAAATAGAAAGGAAAAGGTTAACTCAAAAACGTAGCTCGGAATGAGACGAGGGGTAAATGAATAGAATAATGGAGAGAGAGAAAGCAGGAAGGTTTCTCTTTTCCAAGGGAGAAAAGCTTAATTCTCTAAAACCAGAAAAAAAACACAATTATAACTTTTCTTTGTGTAATCTGGGGTATTTAGAGTGCAATGACTTGGTACAAGAACCACGCCATGTGGCAATATTTAGGCTGACAGCTCAGTAATGTCCCAGCTCCAAAGTATCAGTTACAAAAACACACTATATGTAGTACGGATAAGATTTGATCTGTGAATAAGGTTTCTTTGTGTAATCTGGGGTATTTAGAGTGCAATGACTCTGGTAGGGTTAGGGGTATTGCCTGACCGAAGAACCACCTTGTAGCCAGGTGGCAATCTTTAAGCTGACAGCTCAGTAATGTCCCAGCTCCAAAGTATCAGTTACAAAAACACACTATATGCTCCAAAGTAATCAGGGTTAGGGGTATTGCAAAAACACTATATGTAGTGACAGCTGGATAAGATTTGATCTGTGAATAAGGTTTCTTTGTGTAATCTGGGGTATTTGGAGTGCAATGACCCTGGCAGGGTTGAGGGAATAGCTGACCAAAGATCAACCTGCTAAATTTCTTATTTTTAAACAAATCCAGGCTGAGAAAAGAACCTCCGACATCTAGATTTAGCTAAATCAACCAAAGTGTTGTGTTTAACTTACAAAGCAGGAACGGTTGATATTTTGCTGCATGAAAATCTAATAATTTTTATACCAAGAATTAACCAAGTCCTGTACAAAATTTGTATATATAAAGACTTTTTTTTACTCAAATTATTTTTTTTATCACTTGTAACTTCACTCTGCCTGGACCAACCCAATATGACAAATCCTGTCTCTGATTTAATCTTTGCCAGTCTTATGATCAAAACCAAATACAACATGGGATAAGTCAAGGCTTGGCTCAAAGGTATTAACTCATCGATCAGCCGCGGGTTTGGACATCAGACAGACCAGACAAGGAGAAGGCTACATTGATACTTAAGATTGTTATTATAATATATAAGTTGCTAAGCTCAAATATTTAATGATGTGATAGGAGAATTTCCACTGGTATTTTAGTCATGGAACTCACCAGAAGCTTATTCAATCATTCACTTAAGAATTAAGTTATCAGACAATTAAAATGGTGAAAACCGTGAAATTACTCAAAACCGTTGGGGACAGAGGATTAACCATTTCTGAAAATCTAAGTTGACTAATGCACGGTTAAGGATATTTTTTAAATTTTCTACATTCGGATCAGTTTTTTTTTTTTTTTTTTTAAATTTAGGCACATATTTGATTATAAATTGTATATGAGAAGGGGCCCAGCCAGTACTTTGTTTCAGAGCCCAAGAACTAACAAAGGCCCCACATCAGCCATGTACCACCATCCCCACACTAGAGAAAAAACACTTTCTACTCTCCCTCGACATTTACATACTCAAATATCACTATATTTATCACACCACACTTCTTTTTATTAGTATTTCTTAATTGTTGTAGGCCAAATTGTATAAACATATAACACCAAGAGTATCTACCTACAGCCCAAAGCAGATGCATAAATTACTGCAATGATGTGATTAGCACACGAGAATTTTCATGTCCTCATGCGCCTGTATACATTTTGTTTTGCAAGCAGTTTATGTATGTTAATGAAAATAAAGCATTTATGATATTACACCTAGATTTACTGGGCATCCAATCTTCAATTTTGAAAAAAAATCTTTTCCTGCCTTGGATCCCCAAAGTGGGTCTTGTACCATTTTGTATGATTTCTCTTGGGGACCCTGATTGTATGTTTCGGCTGATGTTAGCCATTATCAAAATTTTTCTTCTTTTCTCTTTTGTTTCTTTCTTTTTTCTTTCTTTCTTTTCTTTTTTCTCTTTTTTTTCTTTTTTTTTTCTTTTTTTTTTTTTTTTTTTTTTTTTCTCTTTTTTTTTTTTTTTTCTTTTTTCTTTTTTTCTTTTTTCTCTTTTTTTTCTCTTTTTTTTCTCTTTTTTCTATTCTTTCATCTGTTTCTCTTTAAATATATTTAGTATATTTGTTTCTAAATTTGGTATTGTGTTGTTTGATATCATTATTATTATTTTTTGTTTATGCAATGTTAGTAAGGATTTTCCATATTTCTGAAAAACAGAATTACATCAAAGAATTCGTGCATTAGAATTGAGATGCTGCAGAATCATCTTAGCCATTTCCTATGATGCTGTACAAGACACAATCAGACAAGAAACTGGCTTTTTGGAAGACATCCTATCCAACGTCCAGAAGAGGAAGCCAAAATGGTATCAGCAACATTCTTCCTATTTCTGTTTTACAAATTACCACCTGAAGCAAAAAAAAAAAAAAAAAACAGAAGAAAAAACTGGTGGACATCACTAAGTGGATTGTAAGTACGGCCTCTGATCAGAAGGTTTTGAGGAGTGTGGAACAACCTCTTAATTGCTGGTGTTTCCAGGTCCACCCTTACCCAGGGTGGTAGCATCTGTTAGGGTCCCAGCTATAGATAAATAGTTAACCCCCAAACCGGGTCAAAATACTATGAAAGTGTAAAAATAGGTTTTAAAACCAGCAATAAATTTTTTGAGAAAAAATTATTACCAGCAATACATTTTTGGAAAAAATATTAACACCAATAAAAATCTTGTCGGCATTAAATAACCCAGTGAGGTTGATATGTTGTAAAACAAACCAAACCAAACCATATGATGTGTATGTGTCGTTTTGGGCTTTGACTGGTCGGTAGTTGATACTTGGGACAACTTCTGATATGACAGCACGTCTCCCTACCAACTCCTCACCTATCTATTCATCCTGACGTGGTGGCTGTCAAATATGAAATGGATGCTTCGGAACTGCGACGCAGGCCCGTCCAACTATCAACTGTAATTAGAGACCAACATCCGGATATATCCGATTTCCGATTTTGTTGCCACTAGATCACCTAAAATCCCTTTATTTTCTATTGCCCTTTGGTCAAAGTGAATGCCGTTTAGTTCTTTTTCAAGTCCAGTCTTCGATCTGCTAGCCCGTCAAACAAAAACACTTGAGATTGAGATAAAACTACCTTTCTCTTCTATGTTGGTGACCATAGTGTCACATTCCAATCTTTATCAAAAATATGCATATTAGCTTCATATAGGAACAAGGGGTATTTTAAGACATTTTTATGTTTATACATTCTTCTTATAGATACAAATATTTAAGTAAATGCTCTATTTATAATAAACAGTATTAAACAACATTTACTGGCCTGAATTTCATAGAAAATATTCGTTCTCCGACAGGAATCGAACCTGTATCCTATACGGAACTGTTATATAGCCTGACGTGCCTTTAACCGATTTGGCCACAGAGGAGCGTTTGGTTAGTAAGGTCGATTTTACTGTCTTTAAACTACAAGCTTCCATGACCTTGCTTTTAACAAATGAATAAAAAAAATATCAGGTTGACACTGAATATTTATTTTCAGTTCAGTTTCATTCATTCGTTTTCCTCTTTTTTTTCAGCAATGCAAAATGAATGTTTAACCTTCGCGCCCGAACACACCCACAAAAAAAAACGGTATTTCAAAAGGACATTTTTTCTGTTGACACCGTTATTACTTCCTTGGCAATGTTTATTTACGAGATTATAAAAACGAAGAATGAACACTGAACATTTTGACTAAAGCGATTTGCGAAGCTGGCAAATTGTATTCTTTGAAATGATTGGTAAAACATCGAGAAATTGCTATTCAATTCGAACTTTATAAAAAGGTAAATAATGAAGATTCCATTCTCATTGGTTCACATATTTTTATGATTTAGTAAATATTTATAAATTTATGAATAAAAATTGTTTTCATATTTATTTATTTACAAATTGGTAAATAATAAATATTGCATTATATTTGTTGGTTAAAACTTTAAAAATGTAAACCTAAAATTATTCTTGTAAATAAATAATCTAAGAAATAAATAGTGTTTAATATTTTTGCTGTAAATTCTCAAAGAACAAAGAAAATCTATCCATGTTCATATGATAGGATTTTATTAAAATTCTAATCGTCTCTTTTTTCTAGGGATTGAGAGTCGGTACAAAATAAGGAAAGAAAACGTCATATTGAGACACCGCTTTATTGAGGGCACGCCATTTAAACTTTGTCACGAAATCTTTAAACCGCAAATCTGGTAACTGTATGAAAGTGAATGATACGATCCACAACATCTGGGTTAACATCGAACGAAACCAGAAAGAGGCTTTCATTTTATTTGACAACGCATCAAAGCGAATCTCTTGAAATTCGTATCTGCACAATTCACTGGTGAGGAACTGATCGTTGAGCAACATAATCGTTCTTTTATTGTTTTCAATATTTTTGGTGATGTTGTCTACAATGTCAACTGCAATGTCTCTGAAATAGACGCACAATTTATAGGCTGGTTTGGTACTTTTTGTTTACAGCAAATTCTTCTTGTGAAAGTGATACGATACAAAAGCATCGAAATTCTGGTCCTTTTCATACAATCTGTTTTTCATATACAAACATTCTACAAACGAAACGAATAAACACGAGTATTTGATCTTCAGACTAACTACAACTTCTCATTTAACGGGCTGAATATATAACTGGATCGGTATATAGGTCACTGGGGTA